AGTGTACTTCACAGCATTATGTGATTGGAATGGTTTCTTAAAAGCATCATGTGCAAAAACTATTATATATTGTATTTATATATTAATAAATAATTGCAGGACACCACTGGGATGGCTTTTCTGCTGTAATATGCAGCAATGGGGTGGGGGCTCTCAGAGAAATATATTAAGTTAGAGAGCACAGATATAGTTTACAAATAGATACCAGAATTATAAGACTACTAATTCTATATAAAATAATAAAACATTAAAGCTACTACTCTGAAAAAAATAGAATAGAATGGCAACTACCTTCAGATGCATAAAAGGAAATTAAATATTAGATTAAGAAATTTTCATTGCTCAGGCCACAGGCAGAACCAGAACATCAATTCAAACTAGCAAAAAACCTGCAGGAGGAATGTGAGAAAGTATTGCATTTCATCGAGTTGCAGATGTAATGCAATGAAGCGAGAATTGATGTACATGGAGAATGGTAAAACTTTTAAGAGATGTGATAAATATGCCAAGATTGACAAGACACCATGAGCTTGAACTCTATCCTGTATAACCAAAGACATTCAATTACACAGATCTGACAAAACTAAGTAAAATACGATACGAGCCTTTGAGTCAATCCATCCTGTGCCATCTTATGGCACAGGAAAATTTAGGAAGTTTAGAAGTAGAGAAGAGGACTAGAGCCAGAAATAAAGGAACCAAGCTATGAAGACATTAACTAAGAACACAAGAAGACAGGAGACGTACTGTAATCACAATATACTAAGTTCTGTAGATGGGATGGACAGGGACAGTTGGTTCCAGCTGAAAGAACAAAATAATGTGGGACAGGTCAGTGTTGGAAACACAAATGAGCCTGTAGAGATTATGCGACAATAAAGTGGCTGAAAACGAATAACTAAATCCACACAAGAAATGAAATGTATCTGATGAGCATGATGCAAGTACTCGTGCAGTGCGGGTGGGGAGCATGTGTAACACGCCGAGCATCTCTGATGCAAGCCATCTACATACACACTTTCAAGAGCAAGTAAGAGCACTAAAATGTCAGGGATATAAACGAACTGCTAACAGCTACATAGTGTGGCCCCAAGAGCCAAATCTGACTTTGTATGCAGTAAAAGGTAAGCATGCACACATTGTAAGTTAATGTTTATTAAACTGAATTATGAATATTGGATTATTAAAGAATCAGTTTCTTAAACACTGAGTTACAAAGTTATTCAAAACAAATAATGATCACTTACCTAAAACAGTTGTGACTATATAGTCCACGCCAATATACACTTAAACACAACAATGACATACAGGGAGGAAAGGAGGCAGTGGTGAACAAAGAGGAGTAAGGTAAGAATAAAAGCTCCATGTATCAATACCAGATAGTAATATCTTAAAAATAAGAAACTTACTTAATCACCATCAAACACTCGTGCACTTCATTAACATACAACATAAGCTTAAACATGTACCGTGGTTCGAGTATTATATATCGTAGCAATACTGTCTTTTAAAAGAAAACTGCATGCATTCTAATTTGTGAAGTCAAATATCAAGCACTCCAAGTTCCTCAAGAATAATAAAGATAAAATCTCAGCTGCCTGAGACAAAAATATTGGTATTCTAAACATCTCAACCTCCCAACACCGTTCTCAGCACAAAAACTAGGGCAGAGAAATGTACACACTCAAAGCTCAGTTCACCTCATCTTACTATAGCATCGGGTGCAGATCAGTAATAGTGCTGTCTTGTCAAGTCTTCACTCAATATGAATTCAACCAACACCCAACTTTCCTTCTATTGAATTATTTAGACAATATAATTTACTTTACCAAAAAATTGCATTACTAAGAAAAATTGCATATTATATAAATAAATATATAGCTTTTTTAATTTGAATATATTTATTTCTGTACTGTATATTTAACATATACAGTGTCACCCCAAAAATCCAGACCCGATACAATGGATTTAGTGAAAATCTGAACCCAATTAGCCCACCGGATTTTTCCTCCAAATTTGAATTTCTAAAAAGAGTAAGGAAAATTGGTGAATAAAATACATCACAAAAGCATAGCTAGGTTTTGTTGGTGGTGTGGCAATGACTGTCTGTTGTTACAACCAGGGACTCATTCATACAGTACAGTATTAGTTCTATCCCAGGAGGAGGGTGGAGGATTTAATGGGACGGGGATAAACAGAGTAAAGGTGGTGTGTGTAGGGAAGGTTATCTATAGACTGGTTCATTGTTGGTCAAGCAGTCTTACACCTGTCCACCCATCTTAATGTTCCTGCTTGGCCAATTTACCAAAAAATCTCTCCTACCCACTGGATCAATCCCAAATGTCCTCCCAATCCCACCCGCCCGATACCTACTGCCCACCAGATACTTTTCCCCTGCCCATCCAATATTTCCCTCTCGCCTGATACCTCTTGCTATCTTTGAAATCCACCTGCCTGATACCTCCTTATGATCCCTAACACTGTCTGAAACCAGCCTGCTTGAAAGCCCAATCTTATTATTGAACTGTACATAATACAGTATAAGCAAATTCTGCTACTAATGGATAGCAGAACAGTTTTTTGAGCCTGTGCTCCAAAAAATGTAAATGAAAAAGTACAGCTTTGAATGTAATGAGATGTTTCTTTCTTGTGAGCCCCCATGGTTCACTGAAGCTATCGCATAGATATTCCATGCAAATGGATCACATCAGATGTGGAAGTTCTGTTTGGCCTACAAGGTACCAAAACCAAACATGGCATTCCTCGTAGAGGTGCAGAGAACAAGTGGAAGTCGTCACCACACTGGGAAAGCATCCAAAAAGCCAGTGAAGCTTAACAGAACACAGGAGGGTTCAAGACCAAATCCTCGAAAACAACAAACTCCACAAGTGATTCACGCAACAAAACATTCAAAATTAGCATAAACTAGTACCAAATGACACCACCAGGCATCCTGGCTTCCACATGCAGCCATCTTCCTTTCCAGTTCTGGAGCTGATGAACAGCACATCAACAAACCGACTAAATGTATGGAGCAAGTGAGTCAGGGAGCCACCAGGTTTATCCAGAAAGAGGCATTTCATTACATGCTTCTTTCTGTAAACTAAGAGAACCGAGGTTCAAAGAGAGTTGAAGGAGTGTACCCATGGAATCTCCTTGGGCTTCCCTTCAGCCCCAGAAGCCTACCACTACGGCTCTAAGGTAGAGCCATAGCGCCATCCAACACCTGTGACAAAGTGCTTCCAAAGGAGAAGGCTCAAAGCAGGAGAGGTGAAAATAATTGCCCTGAAAGCCCAGCAGGATCAAAAGGCTCAACAGCATCTACTGTGCCTGTCGAGGGGCTAAGCACCGTCCCAACTCTGAAACCCTTGAATGCTTCAGAGCCAGAACCAGGAGGGGAAGACCAGAAGTAGGATGAACCACACCCACAGAGGAAGAAAAGGGATTGGGGGGGCACAGATTTAGTCCAGGTTGAGATCACCATTCACTAATACCTCTAATTCCAGATCCTTAAACACTTCAGAAGCCAACTCTGGGATCTGCAACTGATCACAATACTGCAAACGTCTAACCCTAGCAAACCTAGTTCTCAAAGTAGCGCCTGCCTGAAAAGCTGCCACATTGTAAGTTGAATCAGTCAATGTGAAGACCCCCGAGGGAACAAATCGCACAAGGCTGTCATAGGCATCACCAATCCAACAGGCCGTATTGGCACAGGCAGAAAGAATAACCATCTGGTAGCAAAGATGAAAAGCACCCTTCAAGCTCTTACAAGGGGATTGCGGGCTTGACAGACCGAACCAGGGCTTGAAGGTGGCTAGCCTAGCAGGACACCACAAGCACAACCAAAAAAAAACAGCTACAACTTGTGTCTGTGGCATTTCATGTAAACAAGCATGTGAGGCCCAGTATGATCCAGCACAACAAAAATCCTCTAGCCAAGTGCCCAAAGAAAGGAGTCGGACTTGTGAATAGCACTAAGTGAGGCTCTCCACCATGGTGACCTGGCCTCTCAGGGGTAACTCCCAAACACCAGATAAGACAGGGGCAGTGCGAGCAGGCACCCTGGGAAGTGGCCCAGCTCAAAACACAGCCATACACCACACAGTAGCTTGGATATAAAATATGCACATAAAGCAAAAATATAGAATACTGTAGTACAAAGCAAATGGCCCAGGCAGGAATGTGTCCAAGGATGGCTGGCAATTAGCTTGAAGATGGGAAAGGGGCTTGTGTTGTCTGAAAGACCTGGAACAGTCATGTCCAGCAGGACATCAGCAAAAGAACTGGCAAGAAAGATGACTGCAGCAAAGTCAGGCTGTCTGGTAGTGGCATTTGGTACTATGAGTTTTGCATTAATTTTGAACGTTTCTCTTTCTGTGTGAATCATTTGTGTAGTATGATATTTGAGGATTTTGTCTATTAACCCTCCAATTGTTTGTCTTCAACTCGGGATACTTTCCCCAGTAGTGGAAAATTGTCACTTGCTCTTTGTAACTCTGAAGAGGGGGACAGGTTTTAGCTCTGGTTCCCATAGACCAAACAGAATTCCCACATCTAATGTGACTCGCTTGTATAGAGCAATCTTGGTGAGCTAGCTTTAGAGCCCTTCTGGGGACAATCCTAAAAAAAAACTTTGTAGATTTATTCAAACAATACCTATATCCCACCAAATCATTGTTTATATATTTTGTTTAAATATGTATAAACAATTAGTGTATCACTATAGAAAGAAAAAAATTATTGTGTTCAGTTCGGATTTCTAGCAAATCTGGAACAGGTCCAGAATGACAATCCGGATTTTTGAGGTTCACCTGTATAAATATTTTCAAATTTTTTTTACACACAAGACTTATCCAGCAAAACTGAATGCATGATTGCTGTAAAATGAAAGTCACTACCTGTACTGTAATATGCATGTAGACAAATAATCGTGCTAAAATATTACACCAAATTTAGATAGATCAGGAATCTTGGGGTTGTTAATTCAACACTCCTACCATTGGCATAGGGCTGTGTCGGAGCAGCAGCAGCGGCACTGGCAGCAGCAGGTGGGGCCATCATATCGGCAAATGGATTTCCTAACTGAAGCAGGTCATCTGATGCTTTACTACCCTGAAAACAAAACAAAAAAGGTCAAGAAAAAATCTCATTTATCACTAATCTGAATTTAAATATGGTATGTGTCCTGATTAGTAAGTAAAGTAGGCAAATTTACCTGTGTTGCTGTCCCAGAATCAGTTTGAGAAGCCCCAAACAGGTCAATGATCTGAGCAGAATCACCATTGTTTGTGATTGGGACCGGAGCCGATTCACTGGTTGGGGAACTCAGGAATGGGTTGTTTTTAGCATGATCACTCTGCAAGAAATCAAACTGTCACAAAACCTATTTGTAATGCAGGACATCTTAAGATAATGTTAAAAAAAAAATTTAATTTTCATTTTAGGAACCCATACAATTGTTATATCAGTTTATTGTATTTAGTAAAGCAGATGTACATAAATCTATACAGTTAATGTTTAAAAAAACTTTTCATTTTAACTTACCAGGAGATAAAAAAAAAAAACGTAAATGTTAAATGAGACCTTTAAATTCATTTTGTATCTGCTTTGAAATGCAAATCTGTATAACACCTACATTTAGTGTCCAGTTTATGATCAAGGAACCCACTAGTTACAATAGCATTCTTATGATGCGATTTTTGCAATACTAGTCGAAAATCTAGAAAATGTAAAATAAATATTCTAAGGTCAGTATGAACTTTTATCATTCTTGTACATATAAATTATTACTTTACCTAGTACCTTGTGCCACTAATTATACTAAGCCTTGCCCAAACAAAAGCATCATTCACTGTCAATCAAGAGAAGCTATATTATATATATATATATGTAGGTCATGGCTCATTAGGCTCGTTATTATACTTCATCACTACCTGAAAACTTGAACTATAAATGTGATGCTTGCTTTATCACTAAGTTACTATTAATTAGTCTCCATCAAAACTAAATTTCAAATATTCAGTTTATCAAATGCACTGCTAAAGCTTACACCAAATTTCAAATTCCAGTTATTACTATAATTTCTCTCTGACATTTGTTTCTCAACTCGGTTCATTAGCACTCCTTATCGTTTTGAAATCTACCTTGAATGAATCACATGAGCTGTCACACTGCCTGTGATGCACCACAGCTTCCAATACTTTATGTTCAAGGATTTCCAGAAAATTGTCAAGTTTTAAATTCAAGTCATGTGTGCGTGTTTTGACGAGCTAAATCATTTCTGCATTTAATTACAAGTAAAAGGTACAGCTATAAAATAGAGCTCTTCTTGCATAGAAAATTGAACTTTTCTTTCACTTACATGTGTACATACATGGATGAAATTTAACATTTATAAATTTTCTTTGAATTTGCCAGCACTAAAAACTTCTATTTAACTTCATTACCTCTTTTCTTTCATCTTTCATGACTGTCTAAGATTGTAATGAAATTCCACGACTTTCAATATTTGGAACTCATTGTCAAATTTTCCTTGATATTCCAAAGATTCTGTGGCCTGGACGAACACTGACAATTTCACCCTTGTTAACATAATATATGTCTATCGTTCTTGGATGAAAGCTGCATTTATGACCAAGCAACTGAATATTAACAGCTCAATTTTTATGCTTGCAAAGTCTCCTTTAATAAGAATAATTATATCTAAAGACTACTTATGATATTTTGTTACATGAATGGAAATTGTTTGAAGTTGTAGAAAATATCCACACGTCTCCAAGTTAATCAAGATTAGTGGTTGGAAATATGCTTCAAAATCTTAAGTTTTCAAATTCTAAATACCCAAATGTGTATTAATGCAAATAGAGCTACAGTCGACCTTTAGTTCAGTGCAAAATGCAATTGGGGAAAAATAAATATAAAAATAAAAATTAAAATTAAATAAAAAATAAAGATATAAAAATAAATTAAAAAATTTAGTGCTGTAGAATCATTGATCATATAATGATGGTTGTATTTAACTATGAATTAAACAAAACTTGTTCATTTGACATCCCACATGTGTTACTATATTCTCATGGACTTACATTGGATGCCATTTGGTGGGGATATATGTAGTCGAGGACACAAAAGCCAGTGCATAACCCGAGGTCTATCTAACCAAGGATGAAGCTGTATCTACATGACCAATTATATACTAGCCAAACCCATCAGTGCTAACCTTGACTGTCCAAACAATGTGCACACGATCCACAATCCTAAGCCAACGGCTTTATCCACTGGCCAACAGTTAAACGTAGATTTAATTTTCATTAACCAATATCGACCTTCGACATCTTTCAAAGTATGGCTTGGCATCACGAGGCCTTTCAAGCAGCATCCTCAATATCAACTGCCCCATTGGTCAACTCCCAACCAGTTAGCATCAACACAAAGTACCCTGACCATACCCTCCCCCCCCAAATTCTATTTGGCTGCAAGGAAGAGAAATCATCACTAAGCCTAGGAATATAATGCACAGGAACGTGAAACATATCCCACATTAAATAAAGTGTCGACTGCATTTAGTGAACAAATACACAAGAAAACATGTGGATAATTTCTACAATAACTAATATTTAACTACCATAAATGGTTTATAAAAATGGCACAAGAAGTTTTTGGTTTAACACATATACTATTAACACTTTGCTCTACTATTGGACTCGCTACCAGAGAACAATATTAGCACTGTGCCAGGCTAACTTTAAAAGGTTTTATCTTACCATATAATAAAGCAAATGCTAATTCTTTCAACAGCAAAGAAATATGAAAACCTTTATGTTAGAAGTGCCTTGAGCTCCCACCACACCAGGAACCCAGCTCCCTTGCTAAAACAAAAACAAAAAGATTTAAGATACAAGGGACTTTTTCAATCAATAGAATTACAGTTACAATTGCCATTAATGCCTAATACTGTATTGTAATTTGTCTAATGCCAGACAAATTTGCAATATCAAAATAATTAATCCTGATTAGCAAGGCTATCCAGAAGCTTGAGTTAAAAGTGCAGAGAACAGTTAAAAGGGGGTGTGTTGTGTGTTGATTTTCGTATTGCTCTGCTACCAGATCAAAGATCAGGGAAAGTTAACAGAGCAACAGATGTTATATTGGAGAGCACATACATCCCCAGGCCAGGGCCAGGCCAGGGCAGGAGAGCACCACTACCCCAAGGCCAGGCAGGGCAGGAAGGTGAGACCACTATCCCAAGGAGGCCAGGCCAGGGCAGGAGAGCACATCCACCCCCAGGCCAGGCCAGGGCAGGAGAGCACATCCACCCCCAGGCCAGGCCAGGGCAGGAGAGCACATCCACCCCCAGGCCAGGCCAGGGCAGGAAGGTGGGACCACTACCCCAAGGAGGCCAGGCCAGGGCAGGAAGGTGGGACCACTACCCCCAGGAGGCCAGGCCAGGGCAGGAGAGCACATCCACCCCAAGGAGGCCAGGCCAGGGCAGGAAGGTAGGACCACTACCCCCAGGAGGCCAGGCCAGGGCAGGTATTAAATGTTCATCAAGATACATGTTTGTCTCCTTGATATGTTTGTCTATGAGTATGTATGTAAATATAGAATTGACTCAATAATATACAAGCTGGATTCATTAGAGGCTAATCATTTCAATCATTAATAATTACAAAATATTACAATTATAATAATTTAAATTTTGTGGAACAAAAATAAATCTACCGAGGCACAGATGCCAATGGACTAACAATGAATTGTGTAGCTACACTATTTATTGTCACTCATTCATTGTCATTCATTCATCACAATCACTTTGTGGTAATTTTTGGTTAGTATCTCCTGAAACAATCATGGCAATTCATCAAGAAAATGAGGTGCAAGGATTACAGAGATCTCTAAAGAGTACTGTAGAGGAAATATAATGAGTACATGATTATGTAATGAACAGTGATAATAAGCACGGGTTGATGGAAGCCATTTCTCTATTGGAGGAAGTTGGAAGTGGTGATGGTGGTGGTGATAATGGTGAGTGGTGGTGGTAGTGGGTGGTGGTGCAAGTAGGTGGTGGTGGTGCAAGTAGGTGGTAATGGTGCAAGTAGGTGGTGGTGGTGGTGGTGCAAGTAGGTGGTGGTGGTGGTGGTGCAAGTAGGTGGTGGTGGTGGTGCAAGTAGTAGTAGTAGTGGGTAGCCCATGTGGTTCTTGTCTATCAGTAACTACAGGAGAGAGAGAGAGAGAGAGAGAGAGAGAGATCATTGTGCCCTTCCTCTCAGCCTTGTGCACCTGGCTCCTTTCTTATTTGTCATATTTGTATTTAAACTTATACTCACCTACTAGGGTGAGTTCATACTACTCACCCTACATAGGGTTTGTGGATGGGAATGGGATCAACAACTTCTGCAGCTCTCTATTTGCCAATACAATAAAAACTTTCATTTCTATGGCTATTACGTACTTAGAATCTACAATATTACAATTACATATTTCAATCTACCAAATTGACAGAGGAATTCCAGAAATTAACCTCAAGAACAAGATGTAAAAGATTCAAGGAAAGGAAACAAAGGTGTCAAAATACTATAAGAGTCTTTTTTGCAAACAGTGTGGTTGATGGTTAGAACAAGTGGTGGAGGAGACCAAAATCCTCAGTAGATTTAAAATGATACACGACAGTGCTGGTAAGACGGGACACCACGAGCATAGCTTTCTCCTGTAGCTACACTTAGGTAATTACATACTACTGTATGTACACACACTCACACAAATTTACATGGCTCAGTAACAACAGACAATCCTTGCGCCACCATTCATAATTCTTCAAAACTTCAAGCTAATGAATGATAGTGTTTTCTAAGTATTGCATGGTCAGCAAATTTGTAAATAAAATGTTTATAATAAACCAAGAGGAATCCCTATTGGGGAAACAATCATAATATTGTTATAACACTGGTAAAATTAAATTTAATCAGACATTAAGTATGCACTGCCTTCTTTAAAGACTTAAAAACTCAAGCTCCTGGGCAGTAAGGTCTTGATAATTCTCTTTAGCTGGTTTTCTTTAACTTGTTCACAGGCAAACAGGCATTAATCACAACTAACTGTGTGCTAGAAAGAAAAATAATAGGACAAAAATTGGTGTGCAATTACAAACAAGAGAATATATGCCTCTCCAGATATTAATGTATCGTCTTGCCTGACTGAACTCCTCACACAACTCATGAAAACACACAAAATGCCTACACCTAATATTTCCTAGTAATATATGCATGATGAGCAAACATGGGATTTTATTTACTATAATTTTTCAGTTTGTGTACCTTCAGAAGCTGTTAGGTTTATTTCTAAAATACATATTTATACTACACACACACTAGTTGTACATACAGTATATGTACAAAGTTATATATCATTTTACATTTATACCTATATGACACTTTGTTCATAGTTTATGAGCAGTCAACAGTGGCTAAACACGATATCCCTAATATCTAATGCAATAATACATGTGACAAAATTAAAATGGTCAATCCTGGGTGGATCTCTACTATCCCACTGGGTTGAGGAAAACAAGTATTCAATTATATTTTGTCATTCGCACCCCTAACCAGCATCAAGAAAATCCATATGAATAAGAGAAAAGCTACCTTTCCTAGAAGGACAAATAAAGACGTTAGATACTATTTACTGATCGTATAATAAAGCTGCAATACCATAGCATATGGGGACATGATTAAACAATGTGAACATCATTCATTATTTAAATTAAATTATTATATATGTATATTAAAATCAATCTCTATATCTAAAAACAAACTACTTAGTACATACATTTGCTAGTGTAAGCCTTACTATTTGATCAAAAGTCTAAACCTGGTAATCTTCAAATACAATCCGAATGTTCATCCAAACCACTGAACTATTGATGCAAAAGCCTTTCCCAAGAAGTATACCTCATGCACCCACATCCACCTGTTTAGACAAGTACCCTTTCCCCCCCCCATACACACACACACACCCATTTAACACACACACACCATATGCATTAAAAATCTTGTATTCATGCTTCTTTCTTCTTGTATAAGTGTAAAAATTATTAAAAATAAGGTTTATGCCTCCTTTGTTATAAAAAAAGGAAAAAAGTGTTAGAAAAAACTGTCTTTTTATAAATTAATATTGTTTAGATCTTCATGGTTAACAAAACTGACAAAACCCACCTATATTGCAATACAAGAAAAAAAAAATTACAGGGCAACCAAAGCAAATGTTGAGCACTTACCCGTAGCTTCTCATACATGGCCTCTTCCTCAGCTAATGCTGCCCTCTTAGTGAGTTCATCTACATTAGTTCCATTGTTGGTGGCAACAGTCTCTCCAATACGTCCATTGCTGCTTGCCGTACCAAAGGAAACACTAGTCGAGTTGAGAGCTGACACAGCACTCTTGATGTTCACTTTACTAAAGTTTGTTGGGTGTATAGGATAAAGGTCAGATAAGGATTCAGGAGGGGATGGGTTATATTAAGATAGGACAATAACAAAAATTAGTAGTTAAGCCGTTAGAGCGAGAGGCCAGAAATTGAAGTAGGAAGTATGTCAGGTTTCAGGATTATACAGGATCAGTATTCAAGATGCAGGCAGGTCAAGAGAGGGTGAACAGTTAAGCAGCCATAACAAATGCCACATACACAAAATGAGCAGCAGAAAACGAAAATGCAGGAAGGTAAAGGATAGTCACGGATTATTAGCATATAGATTTACGATAAAGAACACGTACAGCAATAGTAACAGTGGCATCCAAGCACAGTGTGTAACAAGTTATAGTAATAGGTTATGAATAACCATGAACAGAGATAAGCATTAAGTTTACCAATGTCCACGCAAGAAAATAGGTGGAAATCACAATATTTACAGGATTGTAACCCAAGATGACAAAAGCAATGAAATATGTTAATAATGAAACAGCATTAAAAAGGCATGTTTATATTTTAAAGAAAAATTTAAGTTTTCATAGAGGATGGAAAGGGATGTGGAAAGGAGAAAAGAAATAAAACAATAAATAAATATAACATCAAATTACGGTTTTGCAGTTCTAAAAAAATAAAAAATCTAAATTTTTCAAATAATCCCAGCCACATACAACATTAAAAAAAAAAATATTAAGTTTTTATATGCCATTTAGCATCTATACAATTTTTCGAATGTACTGTATACAGATAGTGTATTCCCACTCAATCAGAAGATTAAGTGTAGCAAAAAGATTCCAATTGGATTAGTGTCACTGCAACAGTTAAAAGTATCGGTACTACTGTATACAAGCAAATAGTTCCAGATAAAATGGATTGGCGATTGCAATAAAATAAAAAGCAATCAACTTTTGTATATTAAAAATCTACTTTTAGAGTGCAATTTTGATATAAAAAATATGCAAAACTACATTTCTTTGCACTGAAACCAGTGGCAAAAATATATATAAAAGAAATGATTAAATGCATCAGAAGGGGACCAAAAATAATCCCCCTATTCAAGCAGGAATTCACTATAGTAGTACATTTAATGCACAAATGCTTCACACAAGATCTCCAACTAACTGCATCTCCCTTTACATGTGCATCTATTTCCTCATCCTAAACCACATTCCTCTATTAGCAGCATACAGTACAGGCAGCCCAAAGCCTACCCACCCTCACCCACAATACCACTTAATATTGGCCTGTAAGCCAATATAATCTCATATACTGCTACAGTACTTAAAACTATATTCACACATTTACTCCATACATTCCTAACACTTTTAACAAATAAAAATTAACTTATTCAACACTTGAAAAGGTATAAGGGTACATAAAGAAACATTTTATGTAATATTTACATAAAAAATAACCCATAATTTGTTAAAACCAAATTGCTAGTTCAAACTAAACAAATATGAAATAAGGTTGTTTTGATGTACACTTCACAATTTATGTACCAGTATAATAAAGTATGGGGAATCATGTTTTCCCTATCAAAAAATTAAGTTTATGGATGCAAAATTCCCTTCCTGGATACCAAGAAACAAGTCCTCGATCATAACTTGAAGACCACTGAATAAACATTCACTGGCTCTTAATTTGTGGTTTGAATAGGACTTTTATTAAAACAAAATTAACAAGTAAGCAAGCACAACTTAAAATTATCAACATAGAAATGGTAATCAAAATACTTTTCTTGCCTCAAATACTCAAAATGGCAATACCTTAATCCAAGATTGTGCACGTGACTTTCAAGATATGACGTTGCCATTATATTTGATTAAATTATTTTTACGAGAATTTATCACTGGTGGTCCAGACTCTCCACACACTCCCAGCCACAAGCGTTCTGGACTTCCCAGGGGCCCTGCTCAGTTACGTGTAAAATGTTTACAATCATCTTGCACTTTTAAAGTTATTTGTTGGTTTATAACTAAATTTGATGTCAAAACGAAATGTTTGCAAATTAATTCTCTTGAGTACTGATGCCAAAAAAATAGAAACAAAAACAAAATAGTATAGTATTTATAACATTTTGTGAGAGCAATACGAGACACTGTGCGAGACATTCATACTTTATGAATGTTTATGTCAAAAGTGAGGCCTCATGGGCAAGTGGAAAGCTCTCCGGTTGGCCCACTCGTGCTCTAGATATGCTTTGTCCAAACAAGAATGGACATTTAATAAGTTTTAAGACTGGTTGATGCAACTAGAATAGCTCAAACTAAAAGAAAAATTTAGCAATCAGATAACACAATGTAGCATTATCAGAAAGTAAAAATGATAACAGCCAAAGTTTCAGGCCTGCTAGGAATCTGATTACACAGCTTGCATACCTTTTGGAGTGTATGCATCACTTAATTAACAGTTATTACATCATTGCTAACTTATCCTATACAACCCTTGCATAGTTAATTGTGTAAAACAAAATTAATGGTTTATATTTTAAGCTAAGGAAAGATTTGGGCAAAGCTTGCATACTCTCTATCATTACCCAGTCCTCAACTAGTAATGATATAGAGCATGGAGTCTACAGGCATGTGCAGAATTATAACATTTTCCATTTTCCACAAAGGCACTGATGAGATTTCCTTCCCAGAAGTATTAAACCTTTCAGATGATCGCCAGATAGGACTTTTGCAGACTCCCAGTTAAAACACAATTTGACTTATTACTTTCAAGAGGCGGCTTAAAAACTATATTCCTTACTTTATCAAACACTTGCATATATTCTTATCCTCTCTATTTCTGTTTACTAAATTTCACCTTCTTGTGGCTTCAAGGTAACACTTTTTCAATTACGTTCGTGTTGTCAAATAAATCAAGAACACTAATTACAGCATGTTCTTACATTAATTCCAAGGCCAATGCCCAATATATTCACATGATATGAAGTATATCACCCCCCATGCTTTCATCTTTCATTTTTTTTTTTTTTACAAAGTTAGAAGACATGCATAATAGTTATGAAAATCTATAACACTGAAATTGAACATTTGAATTGTGTGTCAAAGAACAATTAAACAATTAACACAGTAGAAAGGGGGACAAGCCAGTTGCAATGAGGATGATTTACTTGGAAGAAAGAAGAAAATGTCAAGTTTGAAAGCAAATGACAATGCACAATTAACTTTTGTAGCGGTTAACATTCATCTAGCATCAAACTACCAAAATCAAGAGGAAGTAATTTTAAATCTACAAGATGGGAGGAGGGGCAATGGAAACTAATGATTAGAGAAGGGTCACACATTCTTCAGGTGTGGGGATGTTTACTGGTTAATTTCTAGGAAGTTAGAAAAGCAGTGATAAAGAAAAAAAAGGTTGAAATGTTTGCCAAGAACTGATATTTTTGGAGCATAACCTTGTACAAATGAGAGAGAGAGAGAGAAATGCCGAGTCTAGAGCTTAATGAAATTAATTATTTTGCTCATTGCTTCAAGTATCATTACCCAAACAATACCAACAAAAAGTTATTTACAAAAAAAAAAAAAATGTTTTTAATAGATACTAAGCTATCAGCCCCGTAAAATCTAGTCATGTCTTGAATGGTAATAACTACTTATCATTTGATGTCCTTACATTATTCACAACGTCGGTACCAACATTTTCCCACAAAATAAATTTATTATTTTTTCAATATAAATTCCCTTGCAACTTCATTCAACTCATTGCATACAGGTTTTCTTAAAGACCATATTCGTTTAATATGATTTAGAGCACTTTCTGTAGTAACCAATGTTCAAAGCTGTAGCAAACACCAACAGGCAATAGTAGTATCCCTTAACTTTGAACATTTGCTAATAAATTTAAGTAAAAAAAAAAACTTCTCTCTGCAGGAAACTAAACACACAGGGCTGACTTATTTACTAGTGTACAGTATCTACATTTCTTAATTCATTATACAGTCTACACATTCACCCTCTTTAATACATCCAATATACTCCCTGAATGATAACATCTCAAACACGCTTTCTTTTGTACATTATCACCCACCACAACTACTAAATTAAATACGTCAACAAAAAGTATTATAAAAATCATAAAAATGGTGTTCACTTCATGAACACACACACACACACACACACACAACCTCACTCGGTCATTAATACTCAAATGTCCAGTTACAAGTTCACTATACTGTACTTCTACATTTTAGTAATAAAATAAAAATTTAAACTCATTGCTTTAAATTTAAAGAGACCTAAAGTAAATATTCTGTTTTTTTATTCAACTACTAGGAACAAAAAGTTGCAAGCAGCATGGACTATGGCGAGTCCATAGTGGACTTATCTGGCACAGGAGCGGGGCTGTAGAAAGTAACTTACACGTCATGCACATATACAGACAGTTACTTAAATATCCTATCAAGAGCTGCTAAATTTTGGCACACATCAATGAATGAAAATAACTTCATGGAAGCAACAATTTGATTTCTGCATGACATTATGAAGGAACAAAAGAAACGTACCTGGAGTTGGTGGCAGCAGAGGAGGCCGGTGGTTTCTTTCCCTCCAAGGAGGCCAGGTGAGCTTCCAGGGCATCCAGGAGACTGCTTGGAGCCTGTACCAGAAAATGTATTACAACCAACCACTCCAATACTTCCCCCACTACTTCCAGCACAATAATACAAAATTAATATGAAACACGCTGAGGAAATTTGAATCTATGACCAACTACAGCAAAGGAATAAAATCCTTTTAAAAATATTTTAAATTCAATAAAAATGTGATGACTGTATTAACTGAAAGGGTAGAACAAGTTTTAAATTCTTCTGTCATAAAAATGTTCAGAAGTACAGTATTTGAAAAAAACATTTACAATAAAACAAACAAAATCAAAAGGACACCACTGTACAAATAGAAAGCATCCAAGCAACTCACCGAGGCCCCTTGTGATCCACAGCCATTTTTGGAGCCCTGGTGTAAGGTCGTGCACAACAAGTGAAAATACAAGCAGTTTAAGAGTCAGGTTCATTAAAATACAGAAAAATACAAGTGCATTACATGTCTAAATTGCTGAGCCCTTTAAAAACATGCTGTTAAAAAGCTGAGGCAAGTTTCATGAATCTGTATACTGTACAGGTCACTGCATCATATATACCGTACTAATGGTATCTAGCATGCAAATCTGAACTCCATGCAATTAAACTTAAGTTCATAGAATTAAATAATACAAATTTAAAAGTAAACTAAGCTAATTAACCATAGCTTTTCAACCAAGACAATGTAGTATTATTACATGCACATGCAATAAATCAAGCATTAATTGTAATGAAATGCACTTTTTCTGGGCGGCCTCAGTAGCTCCTTGATGCACTAGCTCTGGTACCATAGAAATTCAAAAAACTACCAGGCCCCCGGACTTAGTAAGGCTTACCGAACACCAGGACAAGAATCTGGTGTGCTCAGAGGCAAGGTAAGCAAGGAGATCCGAGATTGCCCAAACTGGAAGACAGAGCTGCTGAACTTTGCAGCACAGGAAAGAAAAGTCCACAAACTGGGACCAAACTCTCACCTTGGTGAGCAAAGGCAGCATCCAGCCCAAACTGAGATGGAGGACAATATGGTGTCCAACCTGAAGGGAAAGTCCCTCAGGTTTTGGCTCAATGCCCAACCTAGGGTTAAAGGAGTAGGGTGAAGGACCGAGCTCTTTCAATGCTCACACTATATACAGTACTACATTTCCATTCAAATCCTGGCATGACATTCCAGTTCAATGCTAATACTTCTCATTTCAAATGTACAGTACAGGAAAGATGAGAAGGGGGGAAGAATGATAAACTGCAGTATCTTTCTTCAATTTGTACTCTTTCAGAATATATATACCTTAATTCAGACAAACTTTTATCTTAAATTTTTATGTAAGGCTGTTATTACAGCCCTACATAAATATTATGTATCCTGTTATTACAGAGTCTAAGAGTAGGAACTTTTCTTCCATGTTGGTTTGCTTGGTTACAGACCATAATTGCATATTTATGGACAAAAATGAAAATCTTTTCAGGTGGAAGTACCAATAAAAAAATGGATACAGTTTATGCAACCTCCATAAATTATCAAACTTTAATGTCTCTAAATTTGTGTACAAATATAGGGTTGTAATCCATGCCACAAGATGGCTGATATTACCATTATTAACCAGACATAACCTATATTACCTCATTTTTCACTTTTGTGGGATGAAGAGCCATTAGCCAAAATAAATATAAAATTAGAAACTTTCTTCTAAAATTAAGAGATATAGTACTAACAAATTACATTTGTCCACTCACCCCTATCTCACCCACTATATAGCATACCAAATGAGCCCCACAACACAAGTAAATCTGACAAAACTGCTTATTCTGTTTCATCAGACTAGATATAGTCCTCTTCAAGTGTTGCCCTATACTTTGTACAGACCAAACTCTCTACTTCATGAACTGCTGGCATTTAGTCCTGTTCCCCACCACAACCTGTGTGCTATTCACATACTGTACTATCCCACCTTCCTCGCATACATACTCACCATACTCGGCAGATTCTCTGAACCCTCTCGCATCATCCTGCCCTTAAACTTACTAACACTCGTATCCATCACCAAACTTTGTTAAACATGACCAAACCATCAGAGTACTCTCTCCTCAACCTTATGATTTACTATCACTACATCTTTGCAACACATAAGAAATTCTCTAGCACCACACAGTCATCTCAAATTCTCTATGTATACTGTTCAAATTCAAAATTTTATATCATGCTACACAAGCATTAACAGCCATACAACAGGTATGATACTGCCACCTTTATGCAACCCTTTGGCAACAACTCTTCCCACCTCAAATTTGAAATTCACACACAAGCACCACGAACTCCTTCACGAAGTCTTCCTCCTTGAAGACTTCACTGCCTTCACACCTGCTCTTAAAATATTTACTCTATTCCATTTTTCATTCACACTTCCTACTCGTCTTGCATTAACTCGCCTCACGAACCTGCTTGCCTTAGTTTCCCTCATTTATTCTTTTAATATTCCACACACAGACATATGAGCATGCCATATCCCTATGCCATTGTGGACTGGCTGTGGAAAGGAAGAGCAATTAAGAAACTGCTGCAGTGTGAGTATTGTTATCAAACTTGAAGAGTGGGTATGTAATTTATAAGTTCATGATACCAGGGGGTCATAGAAGAAGTAACGAGAGAAAATATGCAATTTTGTAGTAGTAGATCCACAACTAGTTTAAATAAAAAGTCAAGCGAACCAATCAGTTGAACAGCTTTCATCCGAGATGAATAAAGTATTTTGATAGCAGGAATGCTACCCAAAACGAGACCAGAATAAAATAGAAGGATGAATGAGGCTTGCAGAAGTAACCAAGGTGTGTTCATTCAGGAACACAATAACTTATCAATTCACCCTTTCAGTTGTTTTATCTCGAACACATTCTCATTAGTAGAACATCTCCTCGAGTTACCTCAAGCTGTTTTTAAGTTCAGTAACTTTTACAGACTGAAAAGAATATTACCCTACAGTTAAAACTGACAGATACAATATTTAATTTTAAAGCTAATGTGAACAACCTTGCTCTGTATACTACTGATATTTTCATTAAAGTGAATTCAAAAGTGTAGTAAATTAAGTAACAAGAAAAACTTTTCTAGGTACTGAAAATATTCAGTGTTTCATAGCAACTAAAAATCAACAACATTCAAGTAAAGGGGTATGCAAGTACAGTATTAATGTGTTAAATACTGTGTGAATGCAGGCAGGCAGATATTTTCCAAGAATTTAACACTAAATTTCATTGTTTAGCCAATAATGATGAATAACCTTTAACTGGTTCCACTTTATTCACAAATAAATTTCCTTCAAAATGTCTCATTCTTCCTTAATCCTTAATGCCTGTTATCTGACTACTTGAAAGGCAATATTTAATAACCAAGCTCCGACTTCCAGTATCAGTGATGCCTAATGTCCCATTTCTTGTAGTTCCCCATCACTTTAATACTCACCCATAGTTTAAACTTTTTCATAGAATGAATATAAAAATGTTTAAAACTTTCATGAACTTTTAAATGAGAATTTGTTCACACCCTCCTTATAAAAAGTTAGACATGTCTGAACAGTAACTTGAACAATGTAAAATTTGAGAAAGCTGTAGGGGAAAACAATGAACACGCCTATTAAGAGTGAATAACGAATGTGAACATTGTTCATTATACTGTACTACATTATGTTTATCTTCTACAAACAATACCAAATCAAATTTAATCAGTTCCTCATGTTGTCTTCTTTGATGCCCAAGTCTTCCAAAATCAATAAGAGAGCTGTTAGCCACTTGTGATATGTGACTTTTTATGTATGGCCACAATGACAGTTATAGGGAGTACAGTACATACTGTATTTTGATCACATTCCCATTTCTCACCTGAAGTCTGGCTTCATTTTATTTTTCTTGAGCAACTTCATTACCCAAAACTAAAGGATTAAGAATGAATGTTATTACTCATGCCATTCATATATACTGTGTATTTTTTTCCACATTGTTTATTTTCAGAAAAAATGCTAGGCAAAATACAATAATATTATATACAATAAAAGTATTTTAAGCAAACAATTCCAGTTAATATATTAGAAAATATAACATTTCTGTACAAACAAAATCAGTTAACTACCTTATACTGAATTTGAAAACTATAAATATATGCCTCTCTGCATGCCTGTGAGAAACCATTCCTTGTTAGTGATGGATCAACATGTCATTACAGTTGATTTGAATGTTAGCTTAAGCTCAAGAGGTTAATAATGTGTACAAAAATAGTATTACTTTAAAGAATTCCTACCTTGGTGAGGTCGGGGATATCACCTTTGTCTATGCCTACACTCTACAGACGGCCAGGTGCAAAAGAGGAGATGGTTAATAATACATATATATAGCAAAACACCAGTTCTGAGCTATTGATGAATGAAAATACTGTACCATTAAGAAAACTTTAAAGATATTAAGTCTTGATTAAACACCAATTCAATTTTGTAGAACCAGCAATTCTTTAAAACTTAGTGTCAACATACTTCGTGGAAATACAATTACCGACTTCATAATGTTATTTTACCAACTTCCAGCAGCAAAAGGAATGCTACACTATACATTTTGTTGGCCAAAGAAAATATACATTGAGTAATTCTGTAAGAAATGCACGATTGCACTAATTATGCATGTATCTCATCTCATCTATGGCTCATAACAGGCTTGTCAGGTCACTTTTAAACTGCAAAACCACCTGTGCTCTTACTCAAGAAAAACTATGCCAAGGCATTGGCTGGAATTTACTGATAATGTACATGTTCAGGCCTTTCACAAACAGCATTAGTTTCCTAATTGGTGTTTTTGTTTTTTTTGGGTAAGAGCACCAAAAATAAATGCTAAATAAAGGGACATAAAACGGATAAACTGCAAGATTTTCTGCTTCTGAATCTCTCAATATTGTCATACCTGCTTGAGATCAGGAATTTCAGACTTGTCCATTCCAACTGCCTATGGAAGGACAGGTACATTAGATAGAAGATTTATTAAATCTTTATGCCAAATAATCTACCTATCATATTTATTACCAGAGTAGGAAAAAATAATGAAAAGATTGATTAATGAATTTTAATAAACTTTCTTTAAAAAATTATCTTTAGTTCTTCTCTGTGAATCTCAGCCAATTCTCCAGGTTTAGTGCACACTTATATTTAGAGAGACCTTACCTCAGCAACTTTGAGGAATTCTGCTACACGATCCATTCGTATAAGGAATTTCTTATAACAATCTAAAGCATCTCTAGCCTGTCAAAGAAAAAATAGTAATATTTACATTTTCAAAGTATAATAAGATAAAATACCAAAAAAGTGCTAATGGGGTAATTAATATTAATGACATATCTACTGCTTATACCTTCATAAAAAAATAAAGTACAATCCATTCACCTGGGCTGTATGGGTTTTGAACCGCAGACTCCATGTGTGCGAGGTTGTAGCACTATCAACTAGGCTATGAGCAGTCTAAAAAGGAAAGTTTTCAGAAGTAGCATCCTGCTGCATACTGAAATTTTCAACTTTCCCCGACTACTACTGAAGCCCAGAGGAAACCCACATGCATGGGGGTCCGCGGTTCATATACTGTGACAATAATCTCCTTCAAGAGATTGAGCCTGCTCTTCCCTCCACAAATACGTCGTTACATCTATATAAAACTACTATGGAAGAAATGTCCAACAACGACAACAACACCAGCAAGGTTTGCCAGAGAGCAAAACGTATGCAGCCAGGGACACCTGCTCAGACTCAAACCGCCAAACTACCCGTCTTGCTGCCGGCTCCTCGCTGATTGGTCGCCGGTCTGGCTGCAACTGCACTCGCCCACCATACTACTTGATGTCTGGGGCCGCCACGACCTCAGTCCTCAGAATATTCAGTGCTTTCACACAGTTAACACTTCTCCCTGCTAGACGTAAGCTTTGGCGTACGTGTACTAAGAGAGGTGATAGCTTAAAGCCAATATTCCCGCACCTCTCATTTACTTGTCTATTGCACTTCTTGTTATTTTGCTCACTTGTCTTAACGTAACTTTTCATTGTGTCATTTAATTATTCTTATTATTTTGATTGATTGATTTTATTATACGAATTTGTTTGTCCATTTTATTCATGTTTTATTTATTTAACGTAATTAAAATTTTATTGTTAAAATTTACTTGTGTTTTGTGTGTCTTCTCCTTACCTTACCACAGACGAAGTTCCAGATTTTCTATTTTTTTTTATACTATGTGACGAGGCCATACCCCTAGCTTTGAACAGCCGAACACCAACGCGTTACCGTCACATATTATATGGGGGCCGGTCCTTCCAGTACCTGAGCTTCACTCAGGTACTGGTGCCAAGTGGTAATTAATGGTAAGCGTATTTAACTTTGTTAACGTAGCTTTTACTATTTTTCATATTCAATTTCATTTTTTATATGGTGCGGTGTATTGTGCATTACGAGAGTAACATATAGTGAAGGTGAGACAATTTTGGATTACGTGGTGACTGTAGGCCTCAGTCATACTCTTAATTGGTCATCTCTCCCTCCGTGTTATTACTCGTGTTTACCATCTTTGTCCCTTGGATATTTCTCATTTTTGACAGATCATCATATTGGTACCCTGGTACTGTGGTCTGCCCCGGGTCAAGAGTACCCAATCTTCTGCAATCTGACTGTAGGAGGACAAAGAGGGCCATAGTTCCTCTAGCTCGAACTTTAGTTGCTGAATTGGGACCTCAGCAGCAGTTCTCGTCACCAGTTGACACCTCGCACCCCTACACGTCAGTCAGAGATGATACATACAACGGTAGGGAATTAGCTTACTTTTTCAGAGCACAAAAGTTCGTTAATTCTGTAAGTATCATATTAAATTCAGTAGGAAAAACTTGCTTTATGTCCTATAGAGACTTGGCAAGGTATGCCTACATCCTTGGACTACCAATTTTACTTTTGAGGCAATTTACTGTTTCATTTGTTTTCGAAACTCTGTTTCATTTGTTAGTAGGATTTTCTTGCCCTTATCCTCTTACATGAGTACCGGGTACAAGATTTCCTGCGCCCTTGATTTAATTTAATCATTTAACATCTTTTACTTAACTTTAATTGTTAAAGATCTCACAGGATAGGTACCAGTTGCCACGTTGTCCTGTTTCTGACATTCACTATTGAATGTTCGTGTACCTTTATTTGCTAATTTCACCATGTTTCGTCTCCAAGCTTTCCGTGCAAATCCAGCAGGTGAAATAGGGACTTTAAGTCGTGCCAAGAGGACTGAATTACAAACTCTTGCACATGAGTATCAACTAGAAGTTCCCTACCAAGCCAACAAAAATGACCTATACAACCTGTTGCTGGATTACTATTTAGAGCAAGGTAAGATAGACTCTGAAACTCATGAAACTTACTATATTGCAGATAAAACTGATTTGGCAACGATGAAACTCAAACTAGAGCTGGCCAAGATTGAACGTGAACAACAAGAACGAGCTGCTGCCATACGAAGGGAAGAATACGAACGCGAAGCTGCTTTGAGGAGGGAAGAACAAGAACGAGAAATCACCCTCAGAGAACGCGAAGCTGCCTTGAGGAGAGAAGAACACGAACGTGAGGTCGCATTACTCCGTGAACGTGAACGAGTACAGCTTGAAACACTCCAGGAGCGGGAACGCGTACAGCTTGAAACCAAACAACGCGAGTTGGAGATGCAACGCGAACATGACAAGCAACAAGCGACTCTGGCTCTAGAGTGTCGTCAACGAGAAATCGCCTTGGAAACTTCACACTTCCCTCAACGCCAACAAGCTACTGCCAATCTTCCCGTCAGTTTTAATATATCACATGCAAGTAAGTTAATGCCATCCTTTGTAGAAGCAGAAGTTGATGTGTTCTTTACCACCTTTGAAACCCTTGCTAATCAACTCAGTTGGCCTGTCGACCAATGGGCCACACTTCTCAGAGTCCATCTTACAGGTAGAGCTGCAGTCACACTCAGTACTCTGGCGTCTGAGAATGACTACCCGACTCTGAAACAAGCAGTGTTGGACGCCTACCTCCTCTCTACTGAAAGTTATAGAAGGAAATTCCGTGACCACCTGAAGGCAAGTACCACTACCTTCCTTGAGTTTGCTAACACGAAACGGAGATATTTCATGAAATGGCTGGAAGCAGCACATGTCTCTACTTTTACAGAACTCGTCAACCTGATGCTTGTTGAAGAATTCTTGAGGCGTGTGCCGCCTCCTGTCCGCCTCTACTTAGCAGATAAAGAAGAAACCGACTACCGGAAGTGTGCTAAGTCGGCTGACACTTACAGCCTCATCCACCGGCTGACACCCGAACCATCCTCCAGTAAGAAGTCGTGGTACAGTTACGAGAAAGTGAGCCCCGATCAAGCTGGTTCACAACTGTACTGCAAGTATTGTAGACTCTATGGACATACCATAGACAAGTGTGGTAAGTCTCAATACAAGGGAACCACTGACCAACAAAAACCCAAACCAACTCCTCCTAAGTCCGGTAAGCCTGTGATGAATGTTGGTGTTAATGTTAATGATCTTTCTCTTTTCAGTAACCACCTGTATACTGGAACTGTCTCTGCCAACGGTTCAAATCTGGAGGGACGTTTCAAATTGAAGATCTTGAGGGACACAGCGGCTCTTCAATCGATCATCTTGAAGTCGGCTGTGCCCAACATCGTCTATACCGGAGAAACTGTCTTCATCACTGACCTCACTGCTACCACTCCATACCCTCTCGCCAGAGTCCACCTGGATTGTCCCTACGTGAACGGAGAAGTCCAAGTCGCCGTCAGGGAAAAGCCTTTTCCCATGCCTGGAGTGCAACTTCTCCTAGGCAACGACTTGGCAGAAGACCTGCAACCGACCAACCTGATCGTCATGGACAAACCCCAGGTGTGTAACTCTGTGCCAAGTAACCCTATTCTAGAGTATGTTCCAGTAGAGGTTCAAGAGAGTGATGAAGTTTCTCCTCCGGTTCTCGTGACCACCCGTGCACAAGCCGCACGTCCACAGCCAGCTGACTCTACTGCTACCGCTGTCCCTCGAGACCCTCAGAAACTACCCCCGCATCTGACCAAGTTGGAGTTCCGTAAGTTGCAGAGGGAAGATCTTACTTTAACACCATTGTTTTTCCAGGCTGAGACTCAACCCGACAGTATTCCTGGGTTCTTCCTAGAGAACGACTTGCTCTACCGCAGATATAGACCCAGTAAACTGAAGGAGGAGGACGATTGGGCCAACATCGACCAACTTGTGATTCCTACCAGCCTGCGGCCCACTATTCTACACCTGGCCCACGGAGCACTCTCCCACTATGGCTTCAACAAGACTTACCATGGAATTCGTCAAGACTACTACTGGCCAGGTATGGTAAATAACGTCAAACAGTACGTAAAACAGTGTCATACATGTCAGATGGCAGGCAAACCGAACATCTCCATTCCCAGAGCCCCACTGATTCCCATACAGGTGCCTGCGGAACCTTTCCACAGACTCATAATAGACTGTGTTGGTCCTTTACCTCGGACCAGTTCGGGTAACGCCTACATCCTAACCATCCTGTGTCCTACCACCAGATTTCCCATAGCAGTTCCAGTGAAGAACATCACGGCTGCTACGGTTATAAAACATCTATTGAAGATCTTCACTCAATACGGATTTCCCAGGGAGATTCAGAGCGACTGTGGTACCAACTTCACCAGTGATCTCTTCAAAAGGACACTGGAGGAGTTCAACATCAAACAGGTATTGTCCAGCCCCTATCATCCTGCTTCACAGGGTTCTCTTGAACGTAGTCATCAGACTATCAAAGCACTCTTGAAAAAGTTTTGTAGTGAAACCTCTAAGGATTGGGATAAGCAGATTGACCTTATAATGTGTATTTTCAGAAGTCTCCCCAATGAGTCCCTAGGAGTATCTCCTTATGAGATGCTCTACGGCCGTAAGTGCCGTACTCCCCTTAAGGCTTTCAAAGACTCTCTCCGAGATGCCACCTTCAGTGAGCATCAGAATGTGCCCCAGTTTCTTCAAAACCTTCAACACATTCTAGAGAGAGTCCACCGTTTTGCCCATGATAATCTATTGAAAGCCCAGGAGAGAATGAAGACTCATTACGACCAGACCAGCAAAGTAAGAAAATTCAAGCCGGGAGACTTCGTCCTTGCATACTTCCCTATCCCAGGTTCACCTTTACAAAACAGATTTTCAGGACCCTACCGCGTCAAAGAGTGCAGGAATAACAACAACTACGTAATAGAGACTCCAGATAGGCGGCGGAAGACCCAGCTGTGCCACGTCAACCTCCTGAAGCAATATAATGGTACTCCTCCCACTGTCCTAATTAACTATTCCACCTTCACAGAACCCTACATCCACAGTGAGACCTTCCCAGCTTCTCCTCCCGAAAGCACTGACAAGGAGTCAGCGCTTTCTAATTCCGAAATCCTTAATGATCTTCCCAAATACTTTCAGGATAATCATAGTGCACCTCTCGTCAAGATCTTCAGAGAACATCAAGAGTTGTTCAGAGATGACCCCCAAGAGTGTAATGTTACCCAGCACGACATCCAACTGCTCCCCGACACCCGGCCGATTCGTCAACCCTTCTACCGAATCAGCCCGAGCAAGAAGGAAGTCATGCGTGCTGAGGTGCAGTACCTCTTGGATCATGGACTGGCTACACCTTGTGAGTCCCCCTGGGCCTCACCTTGTATCTTGGTGCCCAAACCCCAAGGTAAGGTGCGGTTATGTACCGACTATCGTAAACTGAACAATGTAACTGTCAAGGATGCTTACCCCTTGCCAAGGATAGATGACATCCTTGATGCCATTGGTAGTGCCCAGTACTTGTCCTAAGTGGACTTGCTTAAGGGGTACTATCAAGTGTGTCTAACGGAGCGAGCTAAAGAGATATCTGCCTTCATCACTCCTTTTGGACTTTTCAGATATGAACGCCTTCCTTTCGGACTATGTAATGCCCCGGCCACCTTTCAGAGAGCTGTCAACCGTGTCATCCAGGGCTTGGATAACACATACGCCTACCTGGACGATATCGTCGTAGCCTCCAACACCTGGAGTGAACATCTGCTCCAGCTGCGACGTCTGTTCTCCAAGCTCCTGACAGCCGGCCTCACCATCAACCTGGGCAAGTCCACTTTCGCGAAAGGTAAAGTGCGTTATCTGGGTCATGTTATTGGGAGTGGCAGCATAGCTCCGTTAGACTCACACACTCAAGCCATCCAACAGTATCCACAGCCTACCACCAGGAAGCAGCTCCTGCGCTTCCTTGGTCTTGCCTCCTACTACCGTAGGTTTGTGAGGAATTTCAGTACAGTCGCCACACCTCTAATTCTATTAACCAGTCCCAAGCAACGGTATAATTGGACCATGCAGCAAACCGTTGCTTTCGAACAACTCAAATTCCTCCTCTGTTCTAATCCCATTCTCGCCTCTGCAGATATCACCAAGCCTTTCGTCCTTCATGTCGACGCCAGTGGTACCGGCGTTGGTGGTGTCCTGATGCAACAACGAGGCGAGGAGGTTCTACCTGTCAGCTACTACAGCTACAAACTGAAACCACACCAGAGGAACTACAGCACTATTGAAAAGGAGCTACTATCCATCGTCCTGAACCTCCAACACTTCGCTCCGTACCTACAAGGCGCCAGGTCTACCACCATCTTCTCAGACCACAACCCTCTCCGCTTCCTACATCAAGCCCAATTCACCAACCAGCGTCTTCTACGATGGGCTCTGTATTTACAAGATTTCAACCTGGAGATCCGCTATATCAAGGGTTCTGACAACACCATAGCCGATGCCCTCTCCAGAGTTTATGAAGTAGAAGCGACTCCATCCATTACTCCACCACATAACGACGTACTTCTTCCAGAACCGCAGGCTTCGGGGGAGAGTTGACAATAATCTCCTTCAAGAGATTGAGCCTGCTCTTCCCTCCACAAATACGTCGTTACATCTATATAAAACTACTATGGAAGAAATGTCCAACAACGACAACAACACCAGCAAGGTTTGCCAGAGAGCAAAACGTATGCAGCCAGGGACACCTGCTCAGACTCAAACCGCCAAACTACCCGTCTTGCTGCCGGCTCCTCGCTGATTGGTCGCCGGTCTGGCTGCAACTGCACTCGCCCACCATACTACTTGATGTCTGGGGCCGCCACGACCTCAGTCCTCAGAATATTCAGTGCTTTCACACAGTTAACACTTCTCCCTGCTAGACGTAAGCTTTGGCGTACGTGTACTAAGAGAGGTGATAGCTTAAAGCCAATATTCCCACACCTCTCATTTACTTGTCTATTGCACTTCTTGTTATTTTGCTCACTTGTCTTAACGTAACTTTTCATTGTGTCATTTAATTATTCTTATTATTTTGATTGATTGATTTTATTATACGAATTTGTTTGTCCATTTTATTCATGTTTTATTTATTTAACGTAATTAAAATTTCATTGTTAAAATTTACTTGTGTTTTGTGTGTCTTCTCCTTACCTTACCACAGACGAAGTTCCAGATTTTCTATTTTTTTTTATACTATGTGACGAGGCCATACCCCTAGCTTTGAACAGCCGAACACCAACGCGTTACCGTCACAATACTGTATATATATATATATATATATATATATATATATATATTACTGTACCATGAAAGAAAAACAGATGAAACCGATATATCAGTACTTATGAATTCTAAGACTTCATTCAAGTAATACAGTACTTCTTAACTGTTATTTGTGAGCTAGAAAAGAAAACAATCTGGTCTATCTTCACAACTCACCTGCTTCTTATTCATCTCAAAGTACTTCTCCAAAAGATTGATGATACCATCATTATAGCAGGCAAATAGACGAATCAGATCTCGAAAAAGAAGCATAAAACCAGAGTTGATGACACCGTTTGTCAACTCATTAGCAGTACAGTCAAAGTCTAGAAGAGCATCAACCTGGGCCTGCAACACTGGCAAGGTCTTCAGCAACTGGTCTGTTGGCATTGTCCGTAATGTTCCATCCTCCTTGCTATCAATATGAAAAATTAGAAAAGGTAAGTAAATTTGTTCAAAGTGTAACAAAGCACAAGCACAGAAGTGCACACATGTGCATGAACACACATATAATGTAGTAAACAACTGTTTCGGACCTCTACCTGTATATAGTATTCATCCATTACTCTGACATACTTAATACTTTCGCTGCGGGTGTCATAAAACCAAAATACGGAGTATGCCCGATGACACAAACGGCGTCAATAATTTTTTCTAAATTTGTAGAAACTCCATTGTCTGAATACTATTGGAGTTTTTTTTAAATGCATGCCAACTTCTGCCAATTCTCTGCATACCCCACGTGGCACCCTGACCCTGCCGTGTGGGCGCCTACCTTGTGACCTTGCTCGTGACCTCACTTGTGACAGCCGCGACCTCTTAAGAGTCTAAAAAGTTTCCCCCCTTATGGTTATTTTATCTCAGGTATTTGTTGTTACCGGCTTTATAAACACTGCAAATTGACTACCAAATGGATACTGATCAAGAACAGAGCCAATCCATAACGAAAGCATTGACAAACACGTATGAGGGAAAAGTTAGAGTTTTCGTCGAAAGTACTGTATAGAAAAGCGATACTTATGTTCTTATACGCAAATATTCCTTTCCAGCATTCTATTGCGAACAATTTGATACCAAATTGAACAACGTAGCACAATAATTGAGGTCAGAAAGCTGAAAAAAGTATAAACGTGTGTGGCGGCGAGCTCTCAGGCTACCTTGAGCTGGGCGGCGGGTCGCCCACTGGAGCAGCGAAAGTGTTGACAAGTAAAAGACAAAGGTGAATTTAAAAGTAGAACAGTTTAGGAAGTTTTCCAGTTATAACATTTACTGACAATAATAACAATAAATATGTAACCTACATTTAATAACAATAAATATAGCCAAAATTTGCCCTCATGAACATCAGTACTGTGGCTTTGCTTATCTCTAAAAACAAATTTCAAGCCAAAATGAATTTATTTCCTCTTCAATATTACACAAGTGGTTTACAGAATCAAAATTTATTTCAAACGAACAAAAATTCATTACAACTGTAAATTTTAATAATGATTAACTGAAGTACGAAACAAAAACAAATTGTTCATAATAGCCTTAAGAGTCTGTAAAATCCTCTACCTATTCAATGTCCAACTAAATTGGATGGAATAAACACACATGATCATTGTGTGAAATATGGTTTAAGAGGCCATGATAACCTTTTATGTCTAGGGAGGACTCTCAGTGATCTAGATCAAATTACTGTGCGGTCTGTGGCAGAGTTATTTATATATAAATGCCACATTACTGAAACTATTTATATCTATGAATAGCCACAATTTCTTACTCCCTCTTAGGAGCCCCTCATCAAAAGGTGGTTAGAGCAGATGTTCGTCCAGGAGCCTCAATTACCCTTCAAACATTCACAGTCAAGTTCTACCAATCCCTCCCTCCCATCCCAACCATTCTTACACATGTTATTCCACTCTTCTTTTTCAATACAGTACACAGTCATCTGCTTCTACCGTATAATCCCTATATTTCACCCTTGTATACTTAGTTAAATCATTCTCAGGCATGTTAGCAACATTAGTGTACTGTGCTTCACTCACTCCACAACTACATTTCATTCCTTCTACACATCTTATACTTCCTCACTGTTATACTGTACCATTCCAGTTACACCAGCTGCTTTTCTCAAAAAGAACACACTTTCCACTGCTTGTACTCTTGCGTATTCTACCCCTTTTTCAAATCAAAAGTGTCACTATGGTATGACAGAGCTGGAATTAATATACTCTCAAACCTTTTATTACACTATTGGCCTCTATCACTTCTCCCACTCATTATCCTCCCTTATTACACCTGCTATATTTGCATATTAATCTGTCATTTCTCCCATGTACTAAAAACTTGTTACCTCTTCAATTTTCAAGTAGCACACTAAAGACATAACGTACTTGTAAAATGCTAAAATATTAGTGGAAATAAAGAATCTTAAAAGTATAATCTCCCAAATCCAGATCAATGTAATTAAATCCTAAAAATATAGCATGACCTCGCTGACCCAGACTGAGCTAGACTTCTGTGTCCAGGGAAAAATTATAATCCAAATAATCGTAGTTGGGGCATCCTTCCCAACCAGCACTGTAACAATCTTTCCCCAAAAATTTTATCCATTTTTACTTTAAGCATGATATTTTTCCAATTTCACATTACAGTAGTTATGGCAAGATCATTCAAATGGAATTATTTTGTAAAGACAAATCGCTAAAAAAATTTGTTTACTTGTATGGCTCACTTTTGTCATATATGACACAAATTTATTGTCCTTTATAGCTCATGGCCATGCCATGACAAAATGTATTTATGATATTTCTTACTTTATAAAAATGTGGAATGGTTAAAGTTCTTTTGAATCTCTTATTATCCTTAATGTAAAATTTTGCCTGCATAATTGACTGTGGAAATAACGAAGTAATTATTAAGGGAGGCAATGGTTATCAGCTATTCACTAAACCACACTTCTTTCCTCATGCCATGAAGACAGTACTGTATATGCAAAACATCTGCATATAAATGTAATATTTACATGTTATGATTCATGTTATGTATTTTCTCTCTACCCTTTTAGATTAATGAGAATGCAATAGCACTTTTCCCAGAATCTAGTAAACATTAATTAGCAATTGATATAATGCAGATTTATTTATTTCTCTGGCATTAGAAAACCATGCATTTATGATAATTCTAAGATACAGTATCCCCTTTGTAAGGAAGCAAAACATGATAAATGTGAAGAGATTGGAGGATTCAAGATTCACCTCGTGTAGTCATGTAATCCACAAAAAAGATTATCAAACTAATTACAGTACTTAAGACATCACTAATTTACCTACCCACGCTTAACTTTGCAGAAATCAAAAGCCACACTCCTGTATGAAATGGCTTTTTCGTTGATATATTTGGCATACCGCCGAATAAATGTTGACATGTCATAACCTATAGAGATGGGAAAACAAAGTATTTTATACAATGCAAATTGTATATACTATAAGGTACTATATAGATACACAAAATTTCAAGTACAGTACACAATTAAAGAAATTCAATGAAAGGTATCTTAAATACAATAAGAGGACAGTAAAATAATTATATATTTACAGTATACAATAAAAATACAGTTCATAAATGAATGACATGAGAAAACTAAAATTGTAGTCAGTCAAAACCACTTTCATATCCAATTATTCTTGCCATAATTCATCAGCCATTCTGTTTTCCATTATCTTGCTTATTCACTTATTCTCCTCCCATTTCTAGCCCAATTTCTCTCTTCACATTTTCCTTTTAGATACTATAAATCCCAATATTTCCTCCTCCATTCGTTTCCACACTCGCATTGTCACCCATGCATCAGTCCATCCTCACTGGTACTAGTTCAATGTCTACCCAAGAGGCTGAACTAATCATCTCCCACACACACTAGATAGTTTTTGTAAGCTCCCCTTGCAAAACCTTCAAAATATACCTACCTCATCATTAGTGTACTTCTCGTACCATTTCATTCCTAACAACTGATTGGAACTAAATAATAGTCAAGCTTCCCAACTAATAGTTCAACAATTTTCCATCATCAATTTTAGCCCATCAATTTTTAACTTTGATTTCACTCCCTACTTTTTCAAATTTAATCATCTCATTCAGATCAGATCTCAAGTGTTATATTAACAAAATAAGAAAAAATGCATAAAATTAAAGACTAACATTGTCAAATTACAACTTTCCATCCACACTAATGAATTAACAGCAAATAGTGAAAAGAATAACAAACCAAAAGCATGATACACTTCCTTAATAAGCAACTGTCACAGTATACAAACAGCTTCAACAAATTAATGTGTTAGTTACCAATACTATTAACAAAGACTAGACAATTCTCAAAACTGAATTACTGTACTGTACGAGGAAATGAATTATGCCATCACTTCAAAAGCACATTTACTGTACAATCTATTATCTTACAATATCATATAGGAGAGGGAGAGGGGGGGGGGGGAAGAAAGAGAGAGGGGGAGAAGGAGGGAGGGAGAGGGGGGAGGAGGAGGGAGAGAGAGAGAGAGAGAGAGGGGGGGAGGAGGAGGGAGAGAGAGGGGGGAGGAGGAGGAGGGGGAGAGGGGGGGAGAGAGAGAGAGAGAGAGGGGGGGGGGGGGGGAAGAGGAGGGGGATGTATTTGATACCAAATTTCAGCTGGAAAGGCTTTGAGATTACGGAATTTTTTGCCTTCAATCTGGGGTGCATCAAGTATTCTCCAGTATTTCTAAACATCAGTACACATTGGCATGGAGGGTAAACAATTCTTACACTATGCTGGTGCAGAATGTTGACCTGCCCTGAATGCACAAGATTCTGACCAGTGGTCAATAGAGTTTTCCTTGCCTTGGCAAGGAACAGAACAAGAGCTCAGGAAGGAATTTTGCCAATAGTCATAAAACATGGCTACAGGATTTAACCATTTTTCAATGTATTATGTAAGCTTCAACGGCACCCAATCAACAGCAGTACATTTATAGTAGCTAAATTTTTTACCTACAGCTGTACAAAATTATATTTTTTTATATTATGCATTATCTGAGTTGATAGTATAGAAGCCAGCAGCGAAGGCTGAACAAGAATATATAAAATGCAAAGCTGAAATTGGATTGGTACACAGATACAGGGAAAATAATAGAGATGCTAGAAGTAAAAGAGCAGGGAAAATGAAAATATTAAAACCATGCCAGAAATATGCGAGGGAGAATGATATGTCAAGGCGTGATTAGGAATCATTTTTAAGGACAAAGGAATAATGGCCAACATTTATCAAATGTTGGCCATTATGGATTTATCAAATGTTGGACAATTCCAAAAAAAATGTAACATTGAGATGGCAGATTATTGCAAGTCCTGTTCTTATAGTTTTACAGTACTAATCACTGACCAAGACATAAATGAATAATCAATCATGACTGAAGGCAGTTTAAAATGGAGAACAATTATTAGATAAGAGTTATAAAGTTCAAGGAATGAACAATAAACCAGCAGCGTGAGGTAAAGAACCAGATGCAGTTTGTTTATATCACTGTTATATTAAGCCTTTAAAGTAACTAGAACTATAAAGTGCACCAATTGCTCTAATCAAAATCAAATTTAACCACTATTGGTCTGGAGTGATTGTGCTGACTTAAGTATTATTGCCCATCTTGCTCATTAAAGAACTGGAAGCCCATTAACCATTATCAAACGATGAGAATATTTTCAGCACAGGTACATTTGAATTCTCTTAAAATGCAAATTTACTTAGTCTGCTGAAAGTGGAAGTACACAAATATGTACAGTAGTTTATTTTGATTGAAAGCTTCTCAAAACACTTTTTTGTAATATAAGCTTTTGACAAAAATTATAAAATTTTGAAACTACAGTACTAAGACATTAAATTTCTTCAAACGAGCCATTAAAATTGATTTTTATATAATAAAGTAATTTAGTAATTACACTTCAAACAGACTTTGAGGTTTATGCTTCCAGCACTCCAGTAAGCACACTACTACTACTACTTACTACCACCACCACCACCCACACTACTAAAACCTCAATACCAACAAAATTAATACTGTACTGTAATTCTAGTGTGACTGCCAACTACTGATACCCTTAACACCATGTATAATTATCATTTACTTACTTAACTGGGGATGACCTGATGAATACAAAATATAGTCTTTTAATATCAGTTCAAATGTTTCATGTACATCATTATTATTAAAAAAACAAACTTAAAAATCTAGGTGTTACCACCATGCTTATCAAACAATTAACAGGTGTCTAGCGTAACATCTTTAATATTATAAAAGCCTCAACAGGCTATACTAAAATGCATTAAGATACAAAGTGAAATAGTCATACTGTATACACTGTACAGACAATAGTTAAATTGAAAGAAAATTTACTTTAATTGTCTGACTTCTGTTTACTACCAAGTCTGATTCCAGTTCAATGGTTAACTATACTGTTCACCCAAAATAAGAACACCTACATCATGTAATATACTGACATTTATTGAATAAAGAACAAATATATATTAGAATAGAAAACCAATGCATATAACCATGTATTCAACTTATTAGAATAAGGTTACTCAGAGGAGTCAGTACAAGTGTGTAAATCATGGTTTTAAAGTGAAAAAAATACAAAAAATTATGAGGAGCCATACAATATATGGAAAGATTTATGGTTAATGTTAATATTCTTTTAAGATGAAACCAAAATTAAATTATTACTGTATATGCATAAAAACTAATTTAAATGCAATTAAAAAATTCAACTACACCACAATTATTAATGTGTAGGATGGGGAGGCCGAAAGTTATCTGTACATTCAGACCAATGTACATCTTATCTTGCGTCTTAATTTCTTATGAGATAATTATAATAGATACTAAAAATTTCACACAACAGGAGGGTCCTGTGGTGCAGTTGGGTCACAGATAAAAGGTCTGAGGCTTAAATTTTCAAGGCACAAGAGAACCGGCTTGACCTGCTCGATGGGGTTCTGGGAGTTGTTCTACTCCCCAAGCCTAACCCAAGGGCAGGCTCGACTTGTGAGCTTGGTTCAACAGGCTGTTGCTTGGAGCAGTTCGCAGGCCCACATATCCCCCACAGCTGGCATATCCGGCACTTCTTGCAGAAAACTAACTAGTTTTCTCTTTAAGATGTCCAACGCTGTTCCGGCAATATTTCTTATACTCGCTGAGAGGATGTTGAACAACCGTGGACCTCTGATGTTTATACCATGTTCTCTGATTGTGCTTATGGCACTCCTGCTCTTCACTGGTTCTATTTTGCATTTTCTTCCATATCATTCACTCCAGTATGTTGTTATTTTACTGTGTAGATTTTGGACCTGGCCCTCCAGTATTTTCCATGTGTATATTATTTTATCTCCCTCTCTTCGTCTTTCTAGCGAGTACATTTGGTCCAAGTGTTTGGACAATGTTTTCTTTTACTTGATGCATGTTTGACTAGCAATAATAGTTATGCCAGGTACCCCAGATTTATGCAATTGTTGTGGGTTTATCCTATGGAAGATCAGTGCAGTAGTTGGACTAGGGGGGAACCATAACCGAGCAATATGCATCACCACCACTCAAATTTTCAGCTTCTATAAAGCTATTTTACAGACCCTAAGCACTACAAACTAGGTAACTGTTTGTAACTGTAACCCTATACACTGTATACACACCCTATACACTGGTAACTGTAACCCTATACACTATGTACTTGTCAATTGGTTATAACTTGCTTTACTCAAGATAAAATAGGGTACCTATACAATGACAATTCTCTACCGTACTAACATGAAGCAGATATACTAGAATACGTTCCTTAAAATGTACTACTCGAATGATATGCTTAAAGATTACACTATTTAAACTAGAGTAGTTTTTCAAAACTAGAGATTTAGCATATCAATGCTAGAAAATATATTGGCTAAAAACAGTACTGTACAGTACTGTAAATACAATACTGTAGCAGTATGGAAATATTAAAAGCTTAGAAATCCTTTTGATCAACACTAAATTTAGACTACAACAAATGCTCTCAACTGTGTAATAACCTAAGCATAATTATCTAAATGTAGTTACAGAATGAGAGTGTGTGTGTCCCATCTTTCTTATATATTGTCATGTAACACTGATACAACGGATGGTTTTGGCAGTCACCATCACTTCACTTAAATTGTTCCAATCATCTACCCCCTCTGTTTGCTACAGAGAACTTGCATATGTTTTTAGGCACCTTTGTCCTCTTAACGTTTGTCTTCTTAACCTAATCTTTGGCATCTTCAGTTATTGAAGTTGCAGGCTAAAAAAAAAAAAAATCCTGTCAACTATCTATTCCTGTCTTTATTTCGAATTTAGTGATCCTGTCACCTCTTTTCTTACCATCTTCAAGCTGTGGGATATTTAATGCCTCTAAGCCACTCTTTGTAGCTCATTTTTTTAGTTCTGGAAGCCATTTAGTAGCACATCTTTGCATCCTTTTTAGTTTATTGATGTGATTCTAAAGATAAATCATTACTCAATAGCTGCATATTCCAATTTTGGTCTCATAAATGTTGTGAACAATTTCTTTAGTATTTCACCATCCATACATTTAAGAGCAATGATAAAGTTTCAGTCATGAGAAGTCTGCCTGTCACCCATCCAGAATGTTCCTTCAGAGGCACCTAGTACCCAAGGTGAATGAAATGTTACACCCGCGGTAGTGTGGTATACACTTTACATGACTTAGGGCATGGTATTCCTAATCATTCAGTGCCTGAGTGCCCACGAAGATGCGCAATTCCCATCTGGGAAGCGGTTAGTTCCCTTGGAAACCTTTTCTAAGGCTAGCCCATAGTGCAGTCAGTAAAACATCCGCCACCCACGTCGGAAGATGGGTGGTCAAGGTACCCAGTGCCCAAGGTGAATGAAATGTCACATCCACAGAGTGGCATAAAACTGATAAGAAAGATATGTAAAAATATTTTCCATACATTTGAAAAATAAATGTTTTTCTTTTGACACCAGTCAGGGTGACAATTTTCAAAATAGCAGCACTTTGATGGTTAAGAATACTGAGTTTTGTATCAAGTATTGTACTGTACTGTACTGTACTTTACATCTTCATGATACATGAACTCAACTGACAAAACATTATTATTTATGCAATGATTACTAATTTTTTTGCTATGAATTCTTGGGTTCAAATTAACATGACAGCAATTAAAAGTTGGATTCTATCAAGAAAAAAAAGTTTATACTTCACAGAAGGGAAAGATACACATATGCAATCATGTAAATGTGAAGAAAACCAGCAAAATAAACTAAACACTTACTTTGACCTTTGATGAATTCAATCACGATGCAGCACGCATTATTGAAGAGGGTTAGAAGATTGGTCGGGGGAAAAAAAAAAAGCATAAGACAATTACAATGGGAGAGTGAATATTAGACATTATTAAAAATGAAGACAGAATGGAAAGAGGAGAATGAGGAGAAAATGCTAGGAGAAAGCAGTAGCACAACTAGATATGGTACAATCATATGAGGACATTCAAAAGAAATTTCCCCAAATCAAAATGCCAGCAAATATCAATATAGAACTAGCCTTATGAAATTGTATACATAAATACAAATTATAATTTGCAAGAATTAAAGTATTGTACTGTAATTCTTGAAAAATCACAAGAGGCCTATAAGGCAGAAAATTTACACGGTATGTGGCATTACTCTCAACCATTTACAGTGTGGTAAAACTCACAAGACAATATTTTTTCACTAACAAATTGAGGAAGGTACATATTTTTATTACTGTACCCCTATGCCAGGCACATCTCAATATAAATACGAAATACTCAAAAATGCAAACCCTATGCATTTTATAAGATGAATTCTTATATCCTGTTATCTTCTCCCACACTGTATGCATACTGTTTGTGTTGCAATATTCATCTGAATGTGCATGGAGAAATTGAAGGGGAGAGGGATGTGTTTGTGCATGGGCGGGCGAGTCATTGTCTGGGGAATATATGTGTGGACGGCCAGATGGAGAATGAATGAATATGTATGGGTGCTGCTTGAACGACTGCTAAAAGCACTGTTCAGTTTAATACAGTACAGTGATAGACAAACAAGGCAACATACAGAAGGCTGCTGTTGTATAAAATGAAAGTTTCTAGAATCGTAGACACACTTTCTGACTTAAAAGATAGAATTTGGTACTATTCACTTTAAAAAAACGTCTTATACAAAACAAAAATCCTAGGCCTAGAATTGCACATATACAGTATATACTGTAATCTATTAGGCCCTCAGATTTTGTGTATTAGGCCTAGGATGGTTAGGTTAGGTTTTATTAGCAATACAAAACCTTTTCTGGTTTGTCCAAATTCAATGGTACCAAATTCTACTAATTGTCCGTTACGTCAATATATGTACGATGAGCCACATTCTTACAAAACGTATTATCTAAAGAAGTGGGTTGTATCCCCCCCCCTCCCATGTACCTTTACGGTTAATTTGTATAGGATGGACTCTGAATTTTCCATTAGTACAACTCTACACAAGATGAGGGTCAACAATACTAGTTTCATGAAGTGCCTCTAGCATGGTATCTCTTGATAAAAAATAATTACCCACATTTGTTTTATTGTACAGGAGTGTGAAGCTTATTGAGCTCTTAAACTTTTGTCTGCAACATTAACTTTTTTGGACCTATCCCTTCCAAGGGTCAAAATGCAAGAACAAATTCACATACCAAGTAAGAGTAAACCCCTACTCTTTCCAGCTATGCCATAAAATATATATATATATATATATTTTTTTTTTTAGTCTACTGTACTTTGACAGAAAATATGATCCCCAAAGTAAAACCCTTAGGTATGTGTATTCCAAGGACAATCATTATACATACCATCATTAATCATAAATTTTTGTTTGCCAACCCCCCCCCCCCCCTCTTTTCTCACCCAACAAAAAACACACAAACTTTTTTGAACATTTCTAACACTCATCTCTCCATATATATATTTACACCACAAATATTGCTACAAATTTTGTCAAAGGATTTAGTAAAACCAGCTTAACACATACAACCCATCGAGTAACAGTCAACAAATTAATATCTGGATCATCCACCATGAAAATCTCAATCCCCAAGGGTACTGTAGGATACTCCAGTACTTTCCCACATCCTCATACCAGACAGACAAGGAAACAACCGATGGTAATGTATCGTCCTTTGCAGATGGCATCAGGATTGTTATGAGACTAGAGCAATATAGACAACAAACCTCCAAACTAATGTAAATCAGGTCTTTTAACAGGCCACAGAAAATAATATGTTTAATGAAGATTGGTTTTTCCATAGTACCAGAGCTGGAACCCAAGTATAAAAATAGAAACCACATACAGCAGAGTCTAATCACACTATAGAACTAAAAGTCAACATAAGATTTTGGGAGTAATCATGGCAGAAGATCTTTTAAAGGAAAAGGTAGTTGTCACAACTGCATGAAAATTGACATGTTGCCCAACAAGAATTTTTGTTTATTAGTGAATGTTATATCTTCAACCTTTTCGCTGTGGCCCCCTCAGGACACTTTCAAACCCAAAGTATATAAAAAAAAGTATATTTGTTTCATAATTATTACATTTATAGCACGAACACCTTGCTTCCCCCCCCCCCCCCCATCTCCTGACAAAAAACTTGCTACACAAAAAATTCTGGCACCTCAGTAGAAAACAAAGTGGTGTAAGAAAACAATGTCCATACTTAATAAGAGGGCTGACGAAAAGGCCATAATGACCGCAACAAAGAGATGCTCAGCCAAACCCAAACAAAAGGTTCAAATATTATCCAGCACGAGACGATCGGTAAAATGGTAAGCTGATCCCCCCCCCCACCAAAAAAAACGAGTTTGCCAAAAAAATTAATCTGATGTGGCCAATATGCAAATTACAAGTTTCCTGCCTGGAACTCACAGAAAGAGCCTAAGTCAGAGAACACAGTACAAAAATCCCATTCGGACTAAAGTATAACATAAGAATTAAGAAAACTGCAGAAGGCCTTGTGCTCCACACGAGGCAACTTATATTTACATCGACCCATACTCACGGTCTGTAATGAAACCTCACATACTAAAAGTAGCAATAAGCAAAAGGCAGGCATAGACTGCCAAGCAGTAGTAGTTCTAGCACAGCTCGTCAAGTAAAGTTTCCCTCATGTCAGCCTCAACAATGCACTGTCTCCAGTGTGATCAGACTGTACATGCTGTATCCTGACACTCACCATACAAACTCTGCCTTGAGCCTGGCCACACTGCCTGTAGTGTTTTAATGCCGTCTGATCTTTAGGTTACCTCGAGATGATTTTGAGGCTTAGCGTCCTTGTGGCCCGGGTCCTCGACAAAGCCTACTCATTGTTGGAATGGTCAACCAGACTGTTGGATGCGGCTTCTCGAAGCCTGACGTACAAGTCACAGCCTAGTTGATCAGGTATCCTTTGGAGGTGCTTATCAATTTCTCTCGAACACTGAGGGGTCCGCCAGTTATGCGCCTTACGCGTAGTGGGAGCATGTTGAACAGTCCCGGGTCTCTGATGTTGACAGTTCTCTCTCAAAGTGCCTTATGCACCTCTGCTTTTCAATGGGATGCACCTCTACTTTTCAACAGAGTATGTCTTGCCATACTCTAATCTATAACCTATATCAAACACACAGTGTCAAATACATGTGTGCTTACTGTCCTGTCAGGGTACTGTGAAGTGCCTAGACCACCTTTGTACGTAGTCTAATTGTCTATGCAATAAGCTCAAATTACAAATAAAATTTTGTAAAATCCACAAAGAGATGGTAGCCCCCCACAAATAAATGCCACATCAGAATGGTTAAACCAAAAAAGGTATTATAAAACTTGTAACTGCAAAACACACAAAAAATAAAAACTAATTAGAAGCTTTAATTTAAATCAAGAGTTAACTCGAAAGTGACTCGAGGCATTCTAAAAATGCATATACTGTACTGTAGACCAAATCAATAAATTATACTGAAACTTTTTTTTAAGAAAATATATACTGTACTGTAAATTGCAAATAGAAAACATATTACAAATACAATACCTATTTAAGTCCACATGATTTAAGGCGAGACCCAGAGCTGGAATGAGCATTGAGTAAACTCGGTGACTGAACACTTGACAAAGAGATTCAAATACCTGTAAATAAAAAAATATTTATTAACATAATTACAATAGAAAGAATGTACTAAATCTAATAAAATTATTTTAGATTTAGTCAATTCTGTCTATTGTAATCTTGCATTATATATATATTTTTGGTTTGAATCTCCCTGTCGAGTCTTTTGTCACTCACCGAGTTAACTCATCATTTCAGCTGTGGCCTTGTCTTAAATCTTGTAGCTGATATATGTGAAATCACACACGAGAGGTTTTCCTTTAATTCACATCGAGGATAGCAAGGGTAACTACTGTATTCTCCCCCAAATGTTTTTTTTTTCATACATTTTATGAGGGGGTTTCTGTCAACCCGTTCTCGCAAATTTAATAAGTCAATATTGACTTATTAAATATGTGCATAGGTGACATACTTAACATAATAGACACGCTTAAAAAGATTCATAGAAAACACCGACCTTACCTAACCTTGTTAGTATCTTAAGATAAGCATCTTATTGCTTCGTAATTACAATTATTACCTAACCTATAATAGGTATAGGTTAAGTAATAATTGTAATTACGAAGCAATAAGATGCTTATCTTAAGATACTAACAAGGTTAGGTAAGGTCGGTGTTTTCTATGAATCTTTTTAGGGGTATCTATTATGTTTAGTATATCACCTATGCACGTAGTTAATAAGTCAATATTGACTTTACGAATTTGCGAGAACGGGTTGTTCTTAACACAAATGATAATACAATTTTACACGTTTACACACTTCATTCAAATACAAAGTATTTTCTAGTATAAAATTTAATAAAATGTAATCAACATTTGTACTAGCTTCTGATACAGGAGTTGAGGTACTGCATATTTTTCTCTCATTTTCAGACCAAGCACAATAATGAACTATGAACTTGCTCATATACCAGAATCAGCAAGTAGCAATCAGTAACAAACAGTGCTAATAACACTACCCAACTTCTTAGTCTGTTCTCACTTCCCAGCCATGATTTCAATGTAAATTTAGCATTTTTTCCATATTAATATACCCTCTTTTCCTCTAGTCTAGCAATGTCATGTCAGCAATAGTCTGCTGTAACTAGACAATTTCTGACATCTTTTACACTAAAAAATCAACAACCAGAGATAAATTATGAAAACCGAATGAGCAGCTAAAGATTGATCACACTAGCACAAAAATGCACATAATCAGGACAGGTCCAGTGTGGTAGGATTGAGCTAGCCATAGAGCTCAACTGATGGTACCAATAAGCCTACAGGTTGTACTAATCCTCCGAGACTTGTACAGGCTAGACAGGAATTGGGACAAGAATCTGGTTCACTGAACGAAGTGAGGAGAGAATAGGAAACAAATTTAAATCGGCCAGAAAATCCAGATGAAGCAAACCCACCAATTGGAAAAAAAAAAAAAATAGAACGAAGAAACCAATACAAAAAAACAGCATAGCTACAACTTGTTTGACCCCCCACTTTATGGCAGCCCAGGCAACCTACAGTACCAATCTAACACCTGTCTTCACTTGTGAACCATCATTATCTAACCTTAAGTGCCCTACAGCAAAGAAGGGAATGATGGGGATAGTAATGAGGGGTCAAACAGGAAAGGGGCATTTAATTAACACTATTTAAATATTTTGATTGCACAGTAAGATCACTTAATATGGTGCCAAACCATACAATTACTCATAAATCATGGTCATTCATAACAGCAGTTATAAACCAAGTGCCAAATTTGAGATATCTAATCACAAGCTTCAATCATCTATGTTTCCTTTCCAATCAAACTACCTGGGAGTAAGTCAGCTGTCACGGGCTGCTTTTTTGGAGATTAAGCAAGATAACCACATCATGAATAGACTAAGATTCTCCCCTGCAGTACTCAAACTACAAAAATCAGTGATCATCATCAAGCTTCAGCTTTATTATTCACTGTACATCATATTTATTTATTTCTCAAACAAGGTCAACAATCTTGCAAACTTAAAATTTCCTTCAATTACTCCCCCTCCTGCCCACCCTAAATCCTATACAGTACTGTATATGCCTAAGTAGGCCTTTAATATGCCAGCAAGTTTTGCAATGAATTATGAAGAATTTTGGTAATAAACATTTCATAGTTAAACTCAATGTAAAATTATAAACAAGAAACAAACATTTATACAATATACAGTACAAGTGTATATACACAAGCATGAATATGAAAAACAAAATTGTGTGTGTACTATATGCAGTAACAATACAGTGAACCATTCAGAAAACCAATTGTCATCAGCAGAGGCAACAAACAATAAAGGTAGATCAAGTCAGGAAAGTCCATGAATTAAAAGTAAATGACTTGCAGCAAAAGAAAAAAAAAATTAAGAATTACATGGTAATTTGTGAAAATAATTACAGTAGTTATCCATTTTTATTTTTAACCATAATCATCTCGATCATTTAAGATTTCCTTATGGCCCTCTGGATTATGACATGATTACATTCTTGAAAAGCTTTTGAAAAATCCCTGTATTCACCTATCACATTTAACAGTGCTGTATAATATATTAAATGACAGAACAACCCATTCAAAAGTGTAACAAATGCTTGTTTAAGGTACTGTTAAATTGACTACTTTAGCTATTTGATAAGAATATGACATGTGCACTGATAATTCAACTCAAATTATTATATCAAATCTATATTAAAAATACTTTTATGACCATTTAATGAAGAGTAACCAACTTTATTAATTGTACTATTATATTCACTAATGAAGTTTTTAACCAACCATATTAATACCTGTATAGATATAATGTAATGTTTTAAATAAATCAATGGTACACTTTTTAATCAGATTATTAGTCAATTTTGTTGAGTAATTTGCCATTACTGTATTTGCCTAATGGTGTCACATTTGCATCTCTCATGATAGCAGTACAGAGTGCCTTGGTGGGCTTTCCACCACCACTCATTTTGACATCTGTTCTCTGTCGGTTCTCATAGTGTTATCTTCTGTCCTGGCCATGTGTGGATCCCCAGTTCATGCCTATACTGTTGCCCCATACCAGTCAACCTTGGTTGATCTCTTCTCAATGTCATTTAGGGGTGGATGCATCTTCACTAGGGTAAAGATTATGAACAACAACTCTGAGAACCTTCATGATCTTCGGAGTGTGCATCTTTATTGTCTCACTTTTCCTCTTTTTTCCCCCCCTCTTGGCTGAGGATTCTTCTGAGGGAGCTTTTCAACTTGCTCTTGCTTCTGGCTGTAGGATTGGGAAGCTTCATGTTCTTCATTGGAAGTGTGGTTTTATTTCTTTGAGCCAAGGGCCCCCCCCCCCCCGTTTCTTTGACTGTTGCCGTCTTTGCTTTTACCAAGAATGAGACTTGTCTTATATCGGAACCCTTCAGTCATTAATCTGCTTGATGGGGTTCTGGGAGTTGTTCTACTCCCCAAGCTTGGCCCCAGGCCAGGCTTGACTTGCGAGAGAATGGTCCACCAGGCAGTTGCTTGGAGCGGCCCGCAGGCCCACATATCCACCACAGCCCGGTTGGTCTGGCACTGATGCTTGGTTTGTCCCCCACCTTGGGTGCATCATGCATTGTCCTATGCCTGTGGTGTGTCATTATTTGTGCATTAATGTTCTTGGGTTCAGGTCCTTTTCTCAACCCTGTGTGTAAAGTTACCTGTTCCAAGATTTGCCTTTCCTTAGTCATCCACAAGGAGTTCAGTTTAGCCAGTTGGCTGTATATCCTCACTCATGATTATATACACAGTATACACAGTATTTTTTGTTTTGTTTTGCTTTTCAAGTTCACATCCCTTGTTTGAGTGAGCAAGATACTGGTCCTGGCTCCCAGTAGTGACAGTCTAGTTCTGGAGGTTTGATGTATTAGGCAAAGGCTTGAAGATCCAGAGTCAAGCTCAGGGAGCAACTAAGGGGACTCCTTCAAAGAAACTGTAGAAAATACAGTATTATCTTCACTTACACATTTTATTACAAGGTTGTAATTACAATCGCAGATTACAGTATCTTCTCATTATCTTCACTTGTATTTAAGGAAATATTTTTACTCATCTTGGGAGTGAAGCTTCTCTCGTCTATGATCCTTTATTGCTCAAGTTGGGTCTCCCTATACAAATGAATTTGCATTTTGCATACACAATGAAGTCTTTGAATATTGCATTCAACTTTAAATACTGCACAACAAAATATTCCCTGCAATGAGGTCCAAAAATTGAAGTTCATGATTTTCATTACATTAGAAGTTACACTGCTGCACAAGAGTAATGTCAGAGCATTACCCGACAAAATAGCAACATGTAATCTACCAAGTGTACCATTCATTATCATAAACATTCCTGTATTACGAGCGCTGTAGTCACATTACTAAACACACCACCTACAGACACCACAATATTCAATTAGGTACTGTTTATGAAAAAAAATTAACAATATTTGAGAGAGAAAAAAAAAGTTACATGTGCAGGTATTTATACAATAATTATTATGAGTGGTAAACAAATTTGTCAACATATTACCTTGTTTGCCTAGAGAATCGTGTATAAATCAGTTATGCAAACGTTTTTGAACAACTGTAATGAACAGTAAAACTATTAAAAATAAAATTATGATCGAGTGATTGACGGAATTGTAAAAAGCATAATTGTAAAATGCTTAACTGTTGGCATTTTACACATGCCATTTAGTTTTAATTTATGGATTGTCAAGCAGTAAAATATTAGGTGTGTCCTGACATTAACTGGGCTTGCCCACCATCCTTCCTTCCCTCCCTCTATCCTCGTCAGGTTGACCTTTAATGATGGCTAACATGGTTGAAAGCACACAATGCTCAGAGCAGTATGTATATACAGTACTGTACACACATCACATTGTATATTTACTGGCAACCATATACAGTATTAACAACATACAGTATACTAATTGTAAACATGTATTTGACCCTTATCTTTTTTAAATATTTGAGCAAGAACATGCTGAGAGTGTCACACTGACCAGTCAAGATATTCATCAAAATTGTGGAGTAAAAAATATGATTTCCTACAAAAACAAACAACTATATTTAATAGCTTGCTTTGTTCTGCAGTGTAGAATGGTTTATGATCCACAGTTTCAAACTAAAAGTTTTCTCCAAAGATGACAGCGTTTCCCAATGTGTGAAAGTAATTTCTTCTCATTTTTACATTTCTTTATCTTTTTACTTATTTAACTATCTGAAAATGCATAAAATTGTGTTTATATGTGCAAGCTCCCAGTACAAGAGAAAACCCTCTTCACTTTACTAGCAACAAGTCAACCTAAAGAAATCTTGAGAAAGCCTTGAGTGAAGTTGAATAGAGAATAATTACTGACGTCGTGAACTAGGCTGATGGCTGCTAAGTTTCAGTAAAGTTCTGCATGTGCCACCTTCCTTCACATGCAATAAAATGTTATGAATATTTCTGACTAAACTAACCACTTCATGAATACTGTATCTTAACACTTCTACATATTTAAATGTGAGTATATTATAAATTACGGCATATGTTAGTAGTACAGTCATGATACATTAGATTTCAGGGGCATGTTAGTAATTATTAATAGATTACTGTACACAGTTTACTGTATGTCAACATCTAATACCCAAATCAAGAATAAATACCTCTAGGATTTTACAGTATCAGTGAAAGCACTGCAGGTTATTGAAACATTAAATACACCATAAATGTATTTGTACCAAAAACTGCTTTATGATATATCAAATTATTATCATGGTAAAATTACTTTATCTTTGTAAACTAATCCCAAACTAGCAACCAATTTAATGTAAGAAAATTAGAATCCACCTTAATCTTTGGTTACCAACTTAAATATACTAGCTTAAAATATACTAATGCTCTTAAGTTAGGCAAGACAACTTGTGTCTACAAATTACCTTATGACCAAGACACTTGCAACAAATTCTTACTAAATGTAAAAAACCACCTGGATGTTCAATACTCAAACCTAGTTTGATTTTACAATAGAAAAACAGGTTCTGAATTTGGCCAAGGAACTTGAGCTGAACTTACCTGCCACTCCTGTCTTGTCTAAGAATGCACCCAGGTTGAAGTTGCAATTGCTAGAAGCTAAGTACTGTGTAAATCTCTGCAAGATAATTTTTTTTTTTAACATTTTAACATGTGTTCTTATAGATATTCTATCAAAAATGTTAATGTTTCTGAAGGATGTGGGTTAAAGCAAACATGGGCTAACTACTCTATTTGTAAATAACATTTTGCCTGCCAGTGCTTTATCAAATCTATCAGATTCACACAGGGCTAGTGCATGTAAAGACAGACAAGTACACGTGATGAAGGTGATGAAATATTATTAACAAATAAAGTCTATTCTCGTTGTTGCTATCTACAGCAATCATTCCTTTGCACTCTCTTAAATCAAAACCATTTCATGACAGTATAGAAACATTCTGAACTCACTAAACAAGCACAAACATGCATACACTGCATGTATTTAAGCATAGTGTATGCACAAGAGCACATACAAACCTTGTATGTAGGGGCTATGGTTAGTTAATTCTCACACCTAGCACAAACCTTATGATATAAACTGTTAAGGCGAAGAGTTAGGGGTGACATGAGAGGTTTACAAGTGGGTGAATGGACATAACAAAGGGGATATTAATAGGGTATTAAAAGTATCAACACAAGACAGAACACGAAACAATGGGTATAAATTGGATAAGTTTAGATTTAGGAAAGACTTGGGTAAATACTGGTTCAGTAACAGGGTTGTTGATTTGTGGAACCAATTGCCGCGTAACATTGTGGAGGTGGGGTCCCTCGATTGTTTCAAGCGTGGGTTGGACAAGTATAATGAGTGGGATTGGGTGGTTATAAATAGGAGCTGCCTCGTATGGGCCAACAGGCCTTCTGCAGTTGCCTTTGTTCTTATGTTCTTATATATACTTTACCTTGTAATTATTAAAGTGTAGTTACAGGATTAGAACTACGCTTCTGGTGTCCCATTTTCCATCTTCGAAGTGTTATGACATCGTTGTCATAACACTTTGAAACTATTGTACAGTAGGTCTGTACTGTACATGTCCCTTACTGGTGGATGTTTTTGATTTCCATTTTGCATATGTGAAGAAATATTTTGGATTTTTCTTTATCTCTGGTATGGCTTTGTTCTAATTACATTTTCTCAGTCTGATATGATTGCCTTTATTCTTGTTCTATTTCTTCAATCGACCCTGCTTAAACTTCCTCTTTTTTTTTTTTTTTTTTTTTTTTTGTAGCAGTCATGTCTGCTAAAACATTAGTGATTTGTTTTCTTCTTCTGTAGCGTCATCTACATTCTTTTTCCAAACTGGTCCTCTTTCTGACCTTCCACAAAGGAATATGCTTCAGACAGACTTTTTGTATGCCTCAACAGTCAGTTGTTATATTCCTTCCATGGGATTTTGTTATAATATATTTGGAACAGTTTCCCCATTGAATGTTTGTAAGTTCCATGTTTATTTTTTCAAGTCAATCCTAGACTAATTGAGGTTATTCAATTAAAATTGAATAACCTCTCTCGCTTGATAATTTTTTTGGTAGACTGATTACAAGTAACGGTATTTATGTTAGTTTGCACTTCAATGAGCTCATGATCTGAGTATGTAGTATCTAGGATTGTAGTGTTCCTGATTATTTCTTCATTGTTTGTGAAGATCGGATCTAGAATACTTTCACTCCTAGTTGACTCTTATTTGCTGGCTGAGCAAAAGTTTATCAAAGAAGCTAAGTACTGTAGTTCTCTGACCTGTGGTTGGTTATTTTCAGATAGATTTCCTTGTATAACATTGTTTGCTATTTACCATATTAGACTATCTGGTATTGGGTTTGCCAGACTATTGAGACTATTCTCTATTTTGTTTATCTGTTCTGTGAATTCCTCAACCATTGCATCTAGCAGTTTGTAAATTAGAATAATAACCAGGTTCATTTTCTGTATTTTAACTCGCAGTCCAGTACCTCTACCACCACATTTGTAGATTCATTAAGGAGCTCCAACCATACAAGATCCTCTCTAATATACAAACCTATTCCTCCATGTGATCTATTTACCATAATTTATCATATCTATACAAATTATATTCTGGAATATTATATTCTAATATATATAATTATATTATTATACTGTCCATGTAACCCCTGCATGGGTTTCTGTGAAAGCTCCAAATATTGCATTTGTTTCTGTGAAGAGGTCACTTATCATTTGGCACTGTTTTGTATCTTTGCTTTTAGTCCCTGTATATATGTTGGAAAAGATAAGCAAGGTTATTATTTGATGTATTTAGTCATTTTTCAGAAAGGTCCATTATGTGTGGGCATATCTGATTTGTTCCGATTTGCACGGATTGCTGCAGTGATGTTGCCTGTCATAGTATAACTATTGTGGGATGAAATGGTATCTACACTTTGTATGCAAATGGTTCTTTCAACCAGTTACAGTACCATACAGTCCCTGTTTCACCTTTGGAAACCCCAAAGGTTTCTTCTTCAAATTTCTTCTGGATCTAAAAAAAACACCTAAAATCTAAACCACCTTTTTGAAACCCTTTCTTCTGGATCTAAAAAAAATGTGACTTTTCCAAAGCCAATTTCCTGTCTGCCACTCTTTATGGAGCATTCTGTGCCTTTCATGAGAAATTCTGGGCAGCTGAGGTCATTGCATTTTTTTTCCTAAAGCAAGTAAGTAAAGTTTTGTATGTTGTGATGGAAATACCGTACCTGCATCTTGATCCAAAAAAAAGACATTCCTTTCCTAAGTAGATTTAAACATTTTCTGGGATGAGGATAACTGCATTCTAATCCCTCTAACTTTCCAGAAAATCTATGTCTGCAAATGCCCTTTGCATAGAATTTGCATTTGCCTGTGTCTTTTCTGCATCTCTATTGCTGTCTCTGGCAGTGTTTGCACCAATTGAGCCATTAGTACTGTGTTACACTTTCCTGTCTACTGTCCTCTTTATCCGAGTACACCAATTCAGAATTTACAATTTCCTGAACTTTTACTTCAGTTTCATTCTTGCTTCACTACCTGCACCAGTATTCGTTTCTCACTCTATAGATTCCTGGTAGGCTTTCAGTGAATACAATTTTTGGGTCACGAGTCAAGGTATTCAGAAGTTATGTTAATATTTTCCAAGCTGGCAAATCTTTCCTACATACCCAAAGTAAATGTCCTGTTCTCAGACCCTTAGTACTACTCATTTCAGTACAAAACTCATGGAATCTATTCTTACATATAACATGTAAGAATAGAGTTATTTATTGCATTTATATTTAATGCAATTCCTGCTTTAGGTATTTATTGCAATGACCCCAAGTTTGTTTACAACCATACTGGTTTTGTTTACTCTTGTGGAACCTACACCTTGAAGAATAAACAAACTTAAAAGTTTAAAAGGCTTGCAACTAGGTTAGTACTGTACCAGAATTTAGAGGCCTCAGCTATGAGGCTAGGTTGAGGGAACCCACCCTCACAACCATATAGGAAAGAGACAAAGGGGATATGATCACTACATACAAGATCCTGAAGGGAAAAGATAAATTGGATAAAAAGTCTATTTCAATTAATAATAGGTAGGACATGGGGGACATCAGTAGAAGCTGGACATGCAATCGAGTCGAAGAGATGTAAGGGTGGTCGTTCCCTTTAAGGGCGGTCAGCAAGCAGAATGCATTGAAGTGGTTGTTGAAGCCAATTCCATCCACAACTTTAAGAAAAATATATGATGAAAATGTTAATTTTGAGAGCAGTAATTAGCACATTAGATATAAATGACTAGGAGGAAGGGCATAAAGAGCTAGATGTCACTCTCCCACAGTCACTGATAGGTAAGCCCTGATAGAAAAGCAATCATAACTGATGCTATTTTTTAGTGCTGTCTGACATAAGCACCAAAGCCTGATAGATCAGGTAGTCTTGAGAGGTTTGTCAAGTTCCTTCTTAAATACAATTAGGACAGTTCTCACTTGCATTCCAGGAAATGCAATTTGAGGGATTTTAAGCATTACCAACAACTAAGGTGCTTCAAGTAGATTTAGGTAATAAATTTGGAAAATTACTCTGAAGTGCATATAATTTTTTTTGTAATTTTACACAATGGTTCTATCTGTTCAAGGCTTTTGCACAACCTGTTTAGATTACAGTATGTTGGCAATTTGCTTGCCTTCTAGTGCATCATAATAATATTGTTGTCAATCAGCTATGAGAAACAGACGCATCCTATTATCAATCCTCGTTGGCCAGGAATGTGTACAGTACATCGACTTGTAATTTTACTTCTTCACACTTTCAGAGTTGTGCAAGATATATTAGTGTTATAACCATTTCATAGTTTTCCATCTATTTTTCTGCCCCCCCCCCCTTGAACGGGGAAATTTCAGCTGTGTTTAGTGTTAGGGATGTCATCATTATCTATGTTCCAACTCCAAACGATATTTAAAACACATGATACAGGTTACATTGAGATGGTCCCAAGGATCAATGTCTCGGCATCCCAGTCTCTAACCAGTAGTGGTTTATTGCATTTCTTAATGAATACAGAATTTTATAAGTCTGGACATGGGATATGCAAATAGATATGTTAGGCAATAAGTCACAATAACATGGCTAAAGTATGTTGACCAGACCACACACTAGAAGGTGAAGGGACGACGACGTTTCGGTCCGTCCTGGACCATCGACTTGAGAATGGTCCAGGACGGACCGAAACGTGGTCGTCCCTTCACCTTCTAGTGTGGGGTCTGGTCAACATAGGCATGTTATCCAATTTCTTCAAATTCCTGTGGGTTAGAGTAACCTGTGAAATGTGAGTTAAGGTTAGTTTCACATTCAAGAATTCTTTTGAGGTGTGAAATCTTCCATGCATTTACTGGTTGTCTGAAACCAAGAATTGAACTGCGTCCTCTGTGTGTCAGATTTCTTCACTGCTATTATTGATCAATGTTCCATTTTACAAACAAAATACTGGAATTAGTTCTTGCTTTTAATTTTTGCATGAAAGATTGATTACTTTATACTTTCTTAAATTTCACTAATTTTTTTTTGTTCTGTCACTCCAGGACTATGTATATAGAAATAAATTGTTAAAATTGTAAGCTAGTATAAACTGCCTTAATGCACACCTATCGTTATTACTCTCACATCCCCACTAGCACCATTTTCCTGCAAGCCATGACATTAGTCACTCGTGCTCATTCATTCTGACAAAGCCATGGCGTGAGTGTAGCAAGCATTACCTCATTGCCGTAACACATTAGGTGATGTACGGTTATTAGCGCCTTAAAGACTATGACCCACGACTGCATCTGTGCCCGCTCGATGAGGAGGTTGGCTAGCTGAGGGATGGACACGTTGGGCTCATTGGTGCAGTGAAGGAGATCTGCAAGAAAAAGAAAGCATCAGTCATCTTGCTGTACCTCAAAATATACTTCTGCATTACACCACATGCACACACACATTTATGCACATAGCAATACTGTAGTGTTAGGAATAGTTAAATCACTACTATCCGACCATTGAAGTTGCACTATTGGTGCTCTAATCCCATTTAAAAATACTGTACTGTATACAGTAAATTAGACCTTTGAGAAATAATGATAGTGTGTGCACACACACACACCACAAGATGACTTGTCTATAAAAGGACAACAATCATGTCTGTGTACCTAAGTGTAACTACCCAAGTGCAGTTACAAGATGAGAGCTATGTCTGTTGTGTTCCATCTTCCCAGTACTCTATCATAACGCTTTGAAACTACCGACGGTTTTGGCTTCTGCCCCCCACTGTGTGTACTCACCTAGTTGTGCTTGCGTGAGTTGAAATTCAGCTCTTTGGTCCCACCTTTCAACTGTCAATCAACTGGTGTACAGGTTTCTGAGCCTATTGGGCTCAGGAATGTCTCTGACTCATTTGAGTACTCAGTTTCCACCTGTGTCCCCTAGTGTGCACGTGCCCACACGCGTTAAACTGCCTATATCTATCCTCCCTCCTGTGTGTGTGTGTGTGTAATAGGTACGTATGTATACGCATGCATGTGTGCATGTATTCATGTACTTACCTAGTTGTGCTTGCAAGAGTTGAGCTCTGGCTCTTTGGGCCCGCCTCAACTGTCAACCGATCACCGCCCCCCCCCCCCACCTAGGAAGCAGCCCATAGCAGCTCTAACTCCCAGGTACCTATTTAATGCTAGATGAACAGGGGCATAAGGGTTAAAGAAACTCTGCCCATTTGTTTCCGCCTCCGTCGGGGATCGATCCCCGGATCCTAGGACTATGAATCCCGAGCACTGTCCACTCAGCCGTCAGCCCCCCATATGTGAATCCATGTGTATGTAAGCATGTACTTTTATGTACAGTATTAGTACTTGGGGAGTAAAAACTCCCAGAACCCCATCAAGCAGGTATCAAACAGGTATGTGTATACATATGTAAGCATGTGTATACATGTGAATGCATATATTGTGCGCACGCACACATACACACTGCATATTTTTGGAGTGCCAGAAAGCCTTTGACACAGTACTACACAAGAGGCTAGTGAAAAAACTTTAGGTACAGGCTGGAGTGAAAGGGAAGGTACTCCATTGGATAAGGGAGTACCTAAACAACAGAAGACAGCGAGTCACTGTGAGAGGTGAGGTCTCAGATTGGCGAGACATCATCAGTGGAGTCCCGCAGGGTCAGTCCTTGGACCTATACTGTTTGATATATGTAAATGATCTCCCAGAGGGTATAGGCTCGTTTCTTTCACCGTTTGCTGGTGATGCAAAAATTATGAGGAGGATTGAAACAGGAGGAGGATAGTAGGAGGCTACAAGGTGACCTACCAAGACAGACTGGATGAATGGTCCAAGAAATGGCTGCTAAAGTTCAACCCGAGTAAATGACTCCATACACAGTTTCAAGTGTAGATATGATAGAGCCCAATAGGCTCAGGAACCTGTACACATGTTGATTGACGGTTGAGAGGCGGGACCAGAGCCAGAGCTCAACCCCCGCAAGCACAACTAGGCGAGTACACACGTGCGTGCGTGTGCGCGCGTATTACAATACGTATACACATGTATTACAATACGTATACAATACGTGTGCGCACACGTGTATGTATGTATGTGCTCAATCACTTGCTCACTGGTCAGGCCATCAAGGTGTGATCGATCTCCCTCGGTCTCTAATGTGTGTATAGAATGCCCCAATTCTCATTCTCCCCTTTGATAACTCGTACAAGGATACCGCAATCCAGATTTCGCCATTAAACGCTCTCTAGACACTGCTATATTTAGCCTAATTGGCACACCTACGCTCCAGTGACTTGTGCTTGCGTGCGTGGAGTGACGGACACAAGTTCAAGTTCATGTTTATTGAGACAAGAAAATACATCTCAAAGGGATAGAGTAGCTTAGGCTATTTCTACCGCCCAGAGCGACGGACAACTCCACATTGGATTTTTCTAGTATTTACCAATATATTCAGTACCTACATACTGTGTGCATGTGTACCTACACATGCTAGCACATGATTAGCACAGCGTGATCTTGCCTCTCAAATGCTACATCACTATGATATGGCCTTGGGTACTATGTAAGAAAGAAAACGCCCAAACTTTCGAATAAGCTTTTAAAAAATTTGACAATAGTTTAATTGAACAGTCAATCGGGAAAATCGACGTGAAATTTCAGTCCCTCGGGGACTAATGTGCTTGCTCCAGTACTCTCATCCTCGCATCCGACCTAGACAAGAATAATCTACAATCAATAAATCACATTAACGTGATATATATATCCATGAGAAAAATCAATCTGAGCAATAAGGCGACTCGAACCTTCGTTCAAGGTACTACGCCACCTGTACCTACTGGGGTAAGGTGCGTGGCTGGGAGCACCTTGATCGCAGGATTCGAATTGCCTCATTGCTCCTTAGGGAGGTAGAAATAGCCTAAGCTACTCTATCCCCTTTGAGATGTATCTTCTTGTCTTGATAAACACTTGAAATTGCTCCTGGATTGAACCAATTTATTTTCTCAACCTATAATACCCTATCAGCTTTCAGATAACACCGATTTTTATGAGTACATATTAGATCATAAGAAAAACTTCAGGAGGCCCCTATACGAGGCAGATTCTATTTATATCCACAAAACCTCATTCATATACCCTTCGAATCTTACACTTTAATCCTTAAATCCTACGTCAATTATGTTACCCAATAATTTGATCCATGAACTTACAACCCAACAAGTCTCCTAACTGAAGTTAACGAAATCTTTCAAAGGGGATCAGACATTATGATCCCCACTGAAGGTACATTCCACATCCTACGCTATAGTAAACACGCAGAAACAAAAACCGGAACCACACATAATATGCAGTCAAACCAAACTACAAAAAACATAAAAGACATGCGAGTAAGCACATCGCAAGACCGTACTTTTTACGACCCCAATGAAGACGCTATCACAGCTGAAAGGAAAATGACAGGCTGGATAACAAGAAGCTTGCAAACCAATCCTGGTACTCTTCCCGGAAGGGACCGTTCCAAGGACCATTGAGCAAGTAAGCAGGGGATAGAAGGCAGAAATCTTGAGCTAGGAACTGGAGACGAGTCGAAGAAGAAGAGTCGGTGGCCCAACCACCGTGGATAAGACTTGCAACTGGCGCTGTGGTTTGGTGGTAGGTGTTCAGGATGAGAACATCCTAGGAAGAAATACTTTTGCGCATTAATAGCCTCATTCTATTGTTGTTAATCTATTACGTAAATTTCTCAACCATTGCACCTGAACGGTAGAGCGACGCTTCACTTCTTGCAGTTCGGCGTTCAATCCTAGACCGTCCAAGTGGTTGGGCACAATTCCTTTCCTGCATCCAATCCTAAATCCTGATCCATTCCAAGTGCTATATAGTCGTAATGGTTTGGTGCGTTCTCCTAATAATCACCATTGCGGATATCTTTATCATCCATCCACAACTGGATAGTGCTCGCTAATACATTGTATGACCTGCTGTAAGCAAATTATCTCGTAAACTGTCTGCCGCATAAATGCAGATATACTATGAGAAAATAACCTGAATGTTTAAACAAAAAAATAAGATTAAGTCATCATGAATACATTTACACTTTATCGACTGAACATATCTCCCGGGTGGACAAGTGGAAACACCTTCAGTCCAGATAGGCTAAAATTGGTTCCAATAATACAAGATATCCACCAGGCAAGATGTACATATTAAATAATGTATAGTAAATGATAGCGGACAATATCAACTGATTGTTGATTTCTTGTTCAGCGACTGAGCAAGACCAGACTTCGAGTCCCGTCCTAGCTCTGCCCGAGACTGATTACACACAGAAATCACAATAGCGTGATGCATCAAATGAACAAATCCACAAGGACCGTGACGAGGATTTGAACCTGCGTCCGAGAGCATCCCAGACGCTGCCTTAATCGATTGAGCTACGTTTTGACCCTGTCGTAGCTCAGTCGATAAGGCAGCGTCTGGGATGCTCTCGGACGCAGGTTCGAATCTTCGTCACAGCCCTTGAGAATTTATTCATCCGAGACAAAGTTTGACCCTAAGATAATCGGCAACAGTTGGCAAACAGGCTATGAACTAAATGCGTCAAAATACGTGTCGAGGGGAAGTAAAATTAACACAGATGTCGCCGTTAAATATGACACTTGCTAAATATAAATATTCACCCTACTGCCCGTAAGGTGGGAGGAGTTAGATGGATTGAGATCGAGGCTGTCATATTCTAAATTTCCCAGCAACTCGACAAACAACTTAAGTGGAGAACACCAACCTCTATACACAGTTTTACCAGCCAAGTACGAACCGAGTACCGAGAAATCGAAATATACACGGATTCTTGTTATCTTGAGATGATTTTGGGGCTTTAGTGTCCCCGCGGCCCGGTCCTCGACCAGGCCTCCACCCCCGGGAAGCAGCCCGTGACAGCTGACTAACACCCAGGTACCTATTTTACTGCTAGGTAACAGGGGCATAGGGTGAAAAACTCTGCCCATTGTTTCTCGCCGGCGCCCGGGATCGAACCCGGGACCACAGGATCACAAGTCCAGCGTGCTGTCCGCTCGGTCGACCGGCTTCCCATTTACGTCGTGTGTACCTAAGGTTAATGGGTTCACGAAGACGACATGAAACAAGCTCCAAGACGGGCCGTAAGTGGCACATGACTGATGGCCCTTGGCGACGAGGGCAGCCAAGAGGGCGAAGATCTCGTGTACCAGCCAAGGACAGGGTTGGGGTGGGGGGGTCACGCGGCTAGACATGCCATACGGCGGCAGATAACCATACAGATCAATATACAAGGAGGAGGGTGTGCCTCTTGGGAGGGCGACATCTCCCGTCACGCAGGGTGCAG